GTAGCTGTGTTTATATTTCCCAGAGAACGTCACTCCACTACACACGATACACCTCTCTAGTGGAGGTAGTGAATCTTGAAAATCACTTGAGAGTGATTTATTGTTTTAACTGGGTGTATGTTCTTTTAGTGTCTATCGTGTCTGATTTTTTTTGGGAAAAGGCAAGGGATGAATTAGTGTGTAAGCATCATATCACGTACACAAAAGTAAGTCAACGTATTTTTTTTAAATATTGTTGTTCTTACTGTATGTTTCTTTTTGACAATTCTATGTTACCAAAAGACAAGAAACACTACTTTAATTACTGTTGTCTTGTGTATATGCATCTTGTATCACTTTACCTTGATTATTTGATTTTTCTTTTTATATATCTGTTTGCTGCATAGTGTATTAGATCGATTATCTCAGAAAAGAATAGCAGGCCACACCCCGACCTGTCGGAATCGGGTATCGACAGAATAACTGTGAGGTGTTTCGCAGATAGGCACAAGATATATCAGATGAGTAGATTCAGACGAATCCTTGGGGGGATACCCAAGGGTTCTGGCAGGACTATATACTCTATCTCTGTGGCTGTCGCGCCTCCGGCCCGAGTAGTCTCCGACGGGTCCCCGAGGGCTAGCCTCTACTGTCTAGAGTATCGTGACAATAACTTTCTAGTCAAAGTAAAAGAAAAAGAGTGGGTAAGAGTCTGCGAGACCCTGCTTTGAAACCTAAAGAAATAGTTTAGTAATAGCCTCTTAACGGATATATGTCTAGTAGACACACCTCCGTTGGGTATGACAATCAAAATACGGTTGCGACGAAGATAGCAGTTGCCTTGATACTCTTCTATTCCCTCTGTTCAGAAGAATTAAAGAAAAAAAAGACAAGAAGCATGCTTGACGTGTTAGAATAAGAGAAGGCTGTCGTAAATCAGATCTAAAGCGTTCGAATAAGAAGAGTGCTAGGTTAAGATAGATATGATATAGGTAATACTAGAAATAGAAGGTTTTGACACGGGACTATTGTGAGAGCGAGCATAGGATAACATAGTTTAGATATATATTTTACCTTGAAATAGGCAAGAAGAGTACACGATGTAGTTATTGCAAAACATCTAAAATACCAACCCACAGTGATTCATTATTCCCGATTCTCCTATTTAAAGAACTACTTGTCTGCGAAGAAAAAGAAAAAATCAATAGCTGCTAAGAGGGCGTGTTTTTTTTGTTCACTTTATAATGAAAGATAACCAAAAGCTAGTATATACCTACGTAATAAATATATAGCAACACAGCTTGCTTCCACAGAAAATATCTACAAGGAAAGATAACACGTAATTATCTTTCTTAGGACGATTCAAAAGAAAAAAGAAGCCAATCCTTCTTAAAAAGTTTCTTCGAATCGCAGTGATAAAGTAGAGTTTTGTCCGGGGTGTTGGTTGCTGGCGAAGCTTCATCGAAATTTTCAGCTCTTACTCCCCCCTTTCCCCTTTCCCCTTTCCCCTTGAAAAGGTTACAGTGAAATTCTAGGGAAGAGCTGTAACATCTGGCCAAAACTAGATACGAACTGTCCTGCGACTAAACACGAACCTATTATTCATGGAAACGCAGGATGACTTGGTAGTGGTACTGTGTGCTCCGCGGACTATACGAACTTGCTCCGTGGAGCAGTCATTGCATTGTGTATGCGGGGTAAAATGACTCTGTATTCTTATATCGTAATAAGTGTTGAGTTTAGATGCAACGGCCCTTATTTTTTTTGTTGTAATAGTTTTTGTAATAATTGTTGTTCGCGGGTAGTTTGACGACTTTTGAAATATCTTGCGTGGTTTGTTATCTCCACCTTACCTTTTTGAGAAGTACATACAATACTTGATTGTCACGCAAATCAAGTAATTTCCTTACTTGATACAAAAGAATGATGGTTAAGTAGATATCTCGACTGGTATATCTATCCTATCTAGACGAACAAAGACTTTTCCACGGGTGTGCATCTGTGAAAAGACACTGCAAAAAAACATAGCATCTATCACCGATCCATTATTATTGCAAGACTTACAATCGGTACCCACATCTCACATCACTTATGTATCCCAGCCATCAAAGCCCCTCCCTTCCCTTCCTAATCCACTACACTACATGGCGGCCACTCCAACGCCACACCACCAACCTTACTCGCTAGACCACACACATCCTGCAACTACACTTACACTGCATCTGGGTATGCATGTGTGCGTCCAAATTTGGATCCTGCACTCGCCACCCATACAGACATGCCGGATGTCAGATGACCGTGTGTGCGCAGGCGATGGCTTTTTGCGCCACGAAGCTAGGTCTCTCGTATCTTGAAGCTAAAATGCGCCACGCTGGCAGCTTTCTCGCCCCCAAATAAAAGACATGTGAAGCGATGGAAGGAAACGAGAAGGGAAGGGAAGGCGGAGATACGCACAAGTCATCTTTTTTATTTGAGGGGAAGGTGTGTATGATTGGAGGAGGGGGGAGGGATCAGCGAATATACCGACGTGGTGTGTGGATTTCCCTCTTTTTTTTTCTCCGAGCCACAGTGTGATGTGATATGTTGCAATGATGCAGGTAGAGTTATACTGCTATACGAAACACATAGTCTGATTGGATGGAATGACCAAAAAATGGTTGAGCATGAGCATGGTTCGACGACTCAAAAGGCTATGCTGTTGTGGGTATCCTACACTCTGCATGCATGCATGCATGATGCTTCGAGTGCGGCGCCACATGTGGTAGATGGTGTGTATACATAACACAAGCAAAGTCTCTCACTACTGGATGTGGGAAAAAGGCGACTCAGTTCATCTAAATGTGGGAGGATAGACGGCGAATCAAGCGACAGATGGTGCACATCAGTACCTGCAGAGGTATGCACGGGTATCGAGTTCCGCCAAAAGCAAGCGTAGTGCAGCTCAGCCGGATGCTCCTTTCGGTTACACCGACATCGGAAATCGCGGCCCACTCCATGTTTGTACATCGATTCATACGTACGTACGCATGTTGGATCCATGTTAGTAAGTAAGTACTCTATATGAAAGACCATGGAAAGTTCCACCCGTGATCAGCACGACGCTTATCAGACGGGAGGCTTGATGACAAGCTTCACGCACGCTTGCGCCGGCCATGACTCACTTGGAAAGAAAGAAAAAAGCCACGGGCAACCATTGTGAGGTATGCTGGACACCGATCAACAAGGACTAGAATGCATGCGGCGCCACCGTCGCTTAAAGGGGGTGTGAGGGAGAGCCGGCGGAACCGCACAAGGGCAAGCATCATCGTGTCTCCAAGAAGCAGAAGGTAAGTCCATCATGTGCAGTTGGCAAGACGCTGCTAGGCCCAAGCTCCCTCGTCTAGTACTTAGCGGACGGCCCTTGACGGTGAGAATGGCGATTGAATGATCAATACGGCGAGCGCGGTAAGGCATGACGGCGAAGAGCATTGTGCGTCGGACATAAGCGAGCATTTTATACGACTATCCGAGATCGATTGGTTCCAAGCGTAGGTGGTATGCGTAAGTATCTAAGTAGTGTAGAACCATTCGAGTCGGTGAGCATCACTGGGTAGGGGGGGATGGTGCGCTGAGAGGGGGGCAAATTGTGCCACCTTGCGGTCCTAAGGGCTTGGGGATGATGTTGCGGGCAGGGCACCCAGGAATGCAGCGCGATTGATTGACTTGGACACTTTTTTGTGAGCGGCTACCCGCCGCACTGGACCATAAGCGATCGGTGAACCTTCTTCTTGTTCGCATGTTTCCGGTCTGGAACGTGAGCCAACCAGAAGACCAGAAACACGGATTTGTCACGGGCGTGGATGTGCGCATGTAGATAGCAGTACGGGTTGGAAGGATGGTATGTGTACGGGGTGAAATGTATGTGCGACACGGACCCGAGCCAGTGTTACAGCATGTGGGAGTACCTCGTACTACTAGGGAAGGTTAGGTGGGTGGTTCGCCAGGGACGGAGAGAGCGAGAGAGATATGCAATGCAGGTAGGTGGTGTAGGGTAGCGGGAAGAGAGAGGCCGGTAAGACGCGTATGCGGGAGGAATCCTTCAAGACGGCAGCGTGGCACGGCAGCGTGGCACGGCAGCGACGTGACAATGGACCAAGGGCTTTTCAGTCGCGGCAAACGCTGATTGTTAAGCACAAAAGAGGCAGCAGAGAGAGCGCGGAAGATAGGCGCACGGAAACGGAAGCATCAGAGTCCCAGCCAATGGCAGGGCCTTTACAGACCATCGCTATTGTCTGGGCTTTAGCGCGCAGCAGTTGGAGCGGGCGCGTGATATGCTTTGATTGAAAAAAAAGCATCCGCTTAGACGCATGTGTAAGTAATGTAGTTATGCGAGTCGTCGGGTTAGCAATGGCGTGTTCCGGGGCGTGGGATGTGATTTTTTTTATGCAGTAGCGTCCAAGCTGCATAAGCAGGCGTGAAGGAGCGTGTACTCGAGTACGAGTGAGCACATGTACCAGGACAAGTGAGGGAGCGAGTAAGAGAGCATGATAATGTGAGAGGGAAGAGTGTCTGGGCTAGAAGCGAACACGAGTGGTTCCGTGCTACCTGTCATTGGAATTACATGAGAACAAAGTTAGTTGGATACGCTATACTGGTTTGGGCCTAGCGTTCATGTCGCTTGTGCACACGCCCGCGCAACCCCCATGCACATGGTTAACCGCCAGCCACGACGACTCGACACTAGCCAAACCGTTTCGACATGTGCGCGTGTTCCAGGACGGGAAAAGAAGTCCTACTTTGAGAACGACGATCTGTTCCTGAGCATTCGGTCTAACCGGCAGTCGCTTGCCGGACGAGGGACGAAACATAGCGCGGTTTTGCGGAGTCGGTCCGATGGCCGCAGATGGAGTGAGGGCAAAAAAGACAGTGAGATGGAGCATGGGTGGATGATGAGCTGGAAGGAACCGCGACGTGGGATGGCATCATGTCCATGATGGCTGGCATGGCATGAGCCAGTATACTCGCCACTGTACTGCCACCAGATGAGCCCACCAGACTCGCTGCCCACGCGCCAGGAGCGCTCTGTCGCGCCCTGGCGAGCATTAGTCTACTTGCCTTGCCTTGCCAGCCAAGGCCAAGTCACTGGGAGCCAGCCCGCCGCCATTCAGCCCACTAGACGACAATGCTCATGCTTCACCGGCTGGTCATTGATGGCTGGCTGTCTCAGCCCAGGTGCGTGCGTACCCGCCATCTGCGTCAACGTCCGCTAACACACATACTTTTGATCGTTGTCCATGAGACCACAGACAACGTACGACAAGTGGCACGACCAACATCGTGCTAAGTTTTTCTGCTCCTTCGCATTTGCTCCCACCGGAAAATTGTCTAAAACCTAATAGTGCTCACTTCCCCCCCCAACTGACATGCCTAACCCGCCCTATCAATCAACTGCCATTGCAAAAACACTACTTTGGAACGATCCGTCGTCTATCTCATCATGCCAAGGGCTTGCGAGATCGTGGCGGACTTAATCATTTCTCCTTCACTTTGCCTACTTTGTATCACTGGGCGCGGCGCATGTCACCACCTACTATAACCACCAAGAAACCCCAGGAAGTCGCCGTTTTGCTGACCCAATCGACACACGTCTAGAATAATTCCAAGACAAAAAGGGCTTTCCGCAAGGCTTACCCGTCCCACCTCATAGTACTTAGTAGTAGTACCATATGCCCAGAACCAGGCCCAGGGTTCGTCATGTCGTCCTCTCACCAAAGTGCGGAAAACTCGAACAAGGGTTTCCCTCACGGCCCCCTCCCCCTAGTCCCCTCACGCAAGCCCCCCCTCCCCCCTTCCCCACCCCTGGCCTGTCAGTGATATCACCTCAGAGGAAGCTTTTGCGAATCTTGCTAAAAAAAAATTAGCAAAGAAGGGGAGCGAGCGAGGGCAGGAAAAAAACGCTCCGACGTTAGACGGGCCGACCCCAGAGATAAAGCTTGAGACACTTTCGACATGAACCGTGCAATTGGTATCCAAAGGGGGGACAGTGACAGCCCTGTTGAAGCCCAATGGGGGGGTTGCGAGTCAGTCCAGGTGTTGCATATTGAAGCGCGTCACGTGGCAGTCGCCATCAACAACGTGTTTCGTGACTTGGGCGGCATGGCAAGCGGGTTTGGCGTTAGCTTGCGCGTTAGTGTGCCGTACATGGTGGTTGCACTATCCCCTTCGTGTCTCGCCAGTTCATAATCGTCATGCACATGTGATGGATTTTCGAAAAACATTGGTACGCGTGTACATTTGACTGGGTATGCTTGGACGCTTTTTTTTCTTTCTCACTCCCCCCTTCTCTTTCGCATACTAGAAACCCATTCCCTCGGATCCCTTCCGCCTCCCTCTTGCTCTTTCCCTCTTGTCTCATTTGTTGCCTTCTACGCTATTCGGCATCCTCCGAACTCGTACTCGCAATAACAATGTACCGGGATCACCGTCATCATGCATGTTTGCGGAGAGCGCGGAACAAGCACAGCCGCACTCGACCTGCCACCATCCATGTCAAGCCCCAGGATCTTAGTACTAGTACCACCTCAACTGTCTCGCTGCCACGATCAACCATGTTGGCCCCAAGATTTCCAAGCACGTAATGTGCCCATGGTTTTGTAATCTTCGTGTTCGAGAAGGCTGACCGTGCCATGGATGTGGTGCTGTCGCAACTATTGCCCTGGCTGCACCATCGTCAAAGAGGCATTGCGGTACGACGCTTCATCCATGTGATGCCTGCCCTTCTTCTCGCATCGACTTTCCACACCCAGCCCTGACCTCATCCAACACGCACGTGCGATGTCCCCCCGTCTCATCGTTTTTTTACATCGGAAGGACTACCGGGAGATAGTCGTTCGTTGCTGGCCTTGCGAGCTTGGTGGCTTGGTAGCCCTGAATCGTAGGATTTCAGTCTTGGACCCTGGTTCCGGACGCGTTTGACGGATTTTGACAGGTCGCTTTCAAAACTTGGTTCCAGTTTTTTTGCTGCAAATGTGCTCTTGTCGTTGTTTCAATCACTCGAAATTTCTTTGGGTGGTCTCCGTACGGAAAGTTGAACACAAAAAATTGAATGGGCCAAAACTATACCCTACTACCAAATATACATGGGCCTGTGGCCTGGGACAAGGAAAAAAAGATATGCGCTGTTGGACTTTCATGCTCTGCTTCTGGACGTCCATAAAATCTATTGCTTGTACATCATGGGATCCACAGGGTAGTTTTGGATGGAAAACCTGGGATCGTATCCTGTTGCATTAACGCCCATCTGGTGGTTTTGCATATGGCTATGCGATGTGGGAATCTGCATGTTGCTGTGTCCTACAATTTGCGACCGTGACTGTGACATGGGCGCTTCGTATGGACCAGGTGTCGTCGAGGTGCTTCTGTTGGCAGTGCTCGTCGAATGTGAAGTGTTGTGTGAGGTGTCGTACAGCGACAGATCGCCGACGTGGGTGGTGGGGGCAGGAATCATGGATTGCTGAGTCGTGTTGAAGGGAAGTTGGGCACCAGTTTGAGCGGCCAGCCGTCGAATGAGATCGTTGGAATGGTACGAGGGCGAAGATGAGGCGGGACTTGCCGAAAAGTCTTCGGCGACATTGGAGGGAAGGGTCCCCGAACCAGTAGCATTAAGGCCGAGCGTCGATGCGGGAACCGTCTGGGGGAGGTTTAGGGATCGGGGAAGCGGTAAATTGGGCAGGACTTCGGAAAGTTTGGCCAGTAGGAGGGGAAGATATCGTGACTGTCCTCCGCGCAGTGTCGAGATGAGTGTCAAAAACCGTGATACATAGTCTCGAGGTCCAAGGGCAAACGCGTCTGGTGAGAAGGATGTGCAAGCGACCACGTCAGTCAGACAACAGGCTATGTCGAACAATTTCTCGATCTGCAATACTGTTAGCTAATGACTGACCTGACAGATAGGGTAAAACGTTGCAAGGGTGGGATGTGCAGGGACGACCAGGGGGGTGAGGTCGAGGGGGGCTAAGCTAGTCAGGACGTGGACGTCAGAGATAGACGTTGGCTAGCGCGGCCCTAGTAAGATCGCAATATGACAGGGGTCTCTGCACGAGACGGAGGGGCTGGAGCGGGGATGAACTCCAATGTCAAGACAGGAACAAGCATGCAAAAGAAAATGAATCTACTTACTAAGCCGACGCCATGGACTTCCATGGATTGCTGGGAGAACTGATGTGAGATTGTGAGCAGGTCGCGGGCGATTTCGATCGGGTACTTGAATGTGAGCGGCACGTCATTCGCGACGCTGCTTACGAGCCCTTGACAAACACTGAGCTGCCAGGTCTGTGACTTCAGCCACTGCTGAGTGATACGAATTTGCACCTCTTGCGCCTCGCTGCATTCGAAATATGCAGGCACGGCCTCTGAAAGCTGCGTCTGCACCTGCGTTATCCATGCAGCGCTCACATGTGTGTTGTGTACCCGATTCCACAGGTTGATAAAGGTGTCGTCGATAATCTTGAACATGTTGATCATGAGTTCTAGTCCAACCGCAATTGGCCGATCCGTGGGTACTTCATCTAATTGAGGAGGATGTATGGTGGGGTGTAATGTGATAGGTCGGTGTTTGTGTAGAGCGTAGGTTCTGTCAAATCGTTAGAAAAATGGAACAAAGGCAAAGAAAAAAGTCCAGAGCGCGTGTGGACATACCGCTCGGCAATGAACAAAAGCCAGTAGAGAACGCGCTTTCGGGATACATCCAAGGGATCATGTTTGTAGGTCTCCTCATCGTGCATACCCAGAAGTTGCGCGTGTGTTGTGGCTTCCCGGAGATATGTCCAGGCTGTGTTCTCTCGCGCCAGTCCAAAGTAGCAGCCGCTGTAAAACCACGAGGTAAGCACGCTCGTGTGCGTGGGGTTCTCGCGGTGGTCGTAGCCTTGTCGCACGCGGACTGATTCTTCTAGGAGTATGTGACCAACACCGACATTTGACATGTGAGCCATCTCTGGACGAGGGAGCACGCTGACGGGCGGTTTGTGGTTGGCCTGAATCATGACGTATGCACACAGTGCAACAATCATACAGTACGATTCAGTGGAGCGGTCCATGCCAACGGCGGCTTCCTGCGCCCTTTGGCGGTGCAGGACAGGCTCTGAGGGGTAAACATGGTTGAAGAAGTATTCTATGCAGCTCTCGACGAGAGCGGGGGGTAACAGCCCTTGGGTGCGGGCAAATGTGGCTGGCAGTGAGCGTCCGTCAAAGCCGAGATCGGTAGGGTAACCAGCAGCGAGCTGAGCGTTGCGCTGGGTTTCGCGGAGTTCAGAGAGGACTTTGGCGCGGGAGCCCTTGGGACCTTTCTTTTGCGGGATGGCATTGTATGTGCATGCAAGGCCAGCAGAAACACAATTCTTGCATGGCGCGGTGCCTTCTCCGATGCACTTGACCTTTCTTCGGTGGCAGCTGTAGTCGAGGGCGACAGTGTGAGTGTGGGAGCATCGACGTTGAGTGTACCGACGGTACGTACCTATCGCAGGCTCGCTTGACCGGAGCAGTCGAGGTAGGATTGGAAGCCATGAGGGAGTGACAAGCTAGTGTGGGAACGTCTCGTCATCTACTTGATGAGGAATGCAGTCGCCGAGCGGATCCGCTGGTTCCTTTTAGTACAACAGACATGTTGCGACTACATTCGGGGAGATACCGTAGAAGGTTCCTTGTGTCATTGTGCTTGAATGAACGCTCATTCGCACCTGGTTAACCTGGACGATTGAAGAGCCCAAGCGTCGAAAGTGCATATTAGACTCAACTAGTTAGCATCACTGGACCAGCCGGGATGGGGCTGGAGGGTTGCGAGTCCAATGACCTAGCCTGGAGAAGCGGCCTGAGTCCCTGGTTCCACGGACTGGGGAAGGAGTCTGCAGGGCAGCGCGTCGGAAGCCGGTTTAACGCTTACCACACGGCCGCAAGCCATGGGCTTAGGCGGTCTGCTGGCTGGACCATGCTTGGAGAAACATCCCAGGCTGACCGCTGGGCATGCGGCAGCGATGGCACGGTCGGTTCCTGCCAGCGACGGGAGCTTCATGTTAGTGTGATTTTAGGGCGACCTGTAACTGGCCGAGGTTGCCCCGCTGGGCAAGTAGCCCGTAATGGATGCCCTGGGTTGTTGCGATATTTTTCCCGAACATCGAGAAGGCTCATGTCGCGGTATCAAAAAGGTGCTGAGCCCCCTCGGGCTGTCTGCAGCGCTGCGCAGCCTGGCCTGATCTCATCTGGTCCCTGGTTACCACTGTAAACGCCGCCTCTGCTCGTCCGCGCGCGCAAAGGGGAACGTCACAATCTCATTTCGCCGTGCGGTGTCAGACGCTGCGCAAGTGCCTAACAAGAAACATAGGCTGAAGTTAGAATTGACCATCTCACTCCCTGACTGATGAACCGACGACACACGCTGCTTGGGCAGCGTCCGTACAATGGGAGAGACACGGGTTGATAACGCCGACAACGGCTTGCTCCATTGTCGAGGTTTTGTGTGGCGACATGGGGCTGTCGATACTTGCCGCAGTTGTCGTCATGCAACCCAACAATTCGACGTAGCTCAAAAGCACCTGACATGGAGAGACGCTCGAGTGTGCTGGACGTGTACGTAGTGCGTAGTAGCAGGAGCAGCCATGAATCGATCGTCTGTGTACGTATCAGACGAGGTGCTGCTGTCCACCGAGGCGCAGCAGCAGCCCTCGCCTCTCGTTTGGTAAAGAAGCCCGGCAAAGATCCTTGATGGGCATAGCGAGCGGGCGAGCGAGGAGAGGTCTCATAGGGCCGCCGCGTTCCGTTGCTAGGCGTCGTTCGAACATTGTTTCTTCTCTGTCTGTATACGGGACTGCGGACCCAAAAAGGTCTGTCGCGCCGCTGCGGCGCTGTCCTGATAACTTATATCTTCTTCCCTAAAGGGCCTTTTGCGGTCTCCACCATCCGATCGTGACATTCAAGCTTCCGAGATGCTGCCGGCAGCGATCAAAATTGGTACAGGACCGTCGAGACCACGAATGGGAGAGGCTGGACCCGCCTCCAGAAGTAGTGCTGCCACCGTCCGGTTACGTTTACGCTAGACGTCACGGCGAATAGAATTTGCAAAAGGCGCGAGAAGTCCTGAAAGACCGCCCGCGTTGTGTACATTTGCATGTACGTATAGTCATGGTGTTGAGGCTTTTGTAGATCCGGGGAACTGGCGACATGTACCTCGCTCGCTCATGCTTCGCTAGCGGCTGCGCCCGTGGTAAGATTCGTGATGCTTGGCACCTCCTCCGCGGAGCCCAACGTCACCCGTTACTCCTCTACACATTGCCCTCTTGGACGGTCGAAATATCTTTGTCTGCAATCCACAGGCGGTGGCCTGCTTTTGGGCTGTCCAATCCAGACTACTCGGCTCACTGGCGCTTCATGCAACCATCATCGCCCCGCGTGGCCGCTAGCATTCCAAAACATCGTCTCATGATCGTCTTGAACCCCTTCACCACATGGCTGATGTGCTGTAAGGGTATGCATTGCTCAACAGGCGAGTCATGAACGGGAGGGAGCGTTGCAACCCAAATATACGCTGTCACCTATGAATAGCAGTGACATTGCCGCGTCTCCCTACTTGACATGCATCGGCCGCCTTGCACTGCACCGACTACTCATATCGTCGTGTCATCCTGGGGTCGGGTAATCTACAGTTCTAAGCGAACCCTCTCTGTACTGGTAGCAGATGTTTATCTAATCTATGTGTCGTTTGTGACAATTGCTTCTCAAGCGTGCCGTTTTTATTTGTCCGTACAGCCAACAATGACTGGATTCCGGTCACCGGTAGACGCCACACACGATTACGGCAGGCACTTTTTTATATTAACCCCAACCAAAATACTACTTCCTGTGAAGCAAACTAAACTAGTCTGCAATTTTCTACCGCCTCAATTGCGGAAACAGTTCCGTGAAGACAAGTGTACTTAGCAGTTCAACTCTCATACACAAAACGAACCCTCAAACTTCGCAAAGTCTGCCATCTTAGGCTTAGCGAGCCTGTTGTGTGTGTACCACGCAAATCGCCCCATCTCATCAGGCACAAAGCTGTTACACCAAAAAGCTTCCTGCGTGTACTGTAATTACATGGCTCTACACTGTTTCATATGTACTCGATAATACCACCGAGCCATCCCAGGCTACGTCATAGTCGTATGAGAGATCTGCTGCAGACACACCTTCACCGCTCCAGAAGCCTTCGGGACTACCTCCTTATCTCCGATGTTATTCCGCTATGCTCGCTGTTACTGACCACATTGTAGACTCCGAGTAAGATGTTACAGTCTTCATATTGGCGCAGGATACTCAATGGATTATTGTACAAATAAAGTTATATACGGGTAGTCGCAAGTGGATCAACCTGTTTCCTATTTGGGTCTTACCTCCGCTTCGTATTTTGTGATTAGGTGTTCAGCGTTCTATCGTCAAAGATGGCGGGCCGACCCTTCGCCTTTTTGATGCCGGGGCTACCTTTGGCGAGAATGTTAAAATAGGGTTCGGATGATGACATTGAATACCCCTGTGGGGATCAACAAGAGAATGGGGTATGGTCTTGAAGAACTGAAACGCAGTTAGAGAGGCGGATGATGGAGACAAGATCAACGGAAGAGGAGGTGGTAGCCAACAAAAGTTCAACGACTTTCTCAAATTGAGTGGTGGGAATGAGATGAAGACAACCGAGGCAGGACTACTATCACATGCATGATATAAAAATAGCTCTCGCACGTCTGAATACCGCCCATCAAACAGATTTTGTAGTATCTTCTCTTGAATTTAAATATACTGTATTGAGCCTAACCTGTAGACACACGGCATATCTGTCTGAGCCACTCACCTCTTGCACAGAACAGTGGTCCAATACAAACCGACAAGAACAAGCGATATCAGAATTGTTTACCAGACCTTGTCAGGACTTTAACATGCTAATCAACAACATTGCCTGAACCAACAAACAACACAATCTACCATCTTTTTATGCTCCTACACACCACACACCTACGACCCGTGCTCTTCAGAAGCAAGTAACGAAACCTTAAACTATCAACACCTACACATCAATAATCACAATTCAAGAACCAAACAACAAGACGCATCATCTGCACAGCAACATAACCAATGGTATTTTATACAAAAAACAAGAACCAACTAATTCAATCTATGAACAAGTGCGCAACGTATGGCGCCAATGGGTCAAAAACAACCGCTCAATCATATAACATGCCAAACGTCACCTCTCACTCACTTTACATACATACATACACAATCATGACGCCGGAAAACAATGCAGTTCGCACACATACAAATGTCTGTCATAAGCGACCACTCTTTTTTTCTCTCGTCTCGTTTCATGCAAAAAAAAATCAACAATTAGGAGAACTCAACCCGACTTCCGCCTAGCCTAGCCTGTTTGGCCTGGGCTCTTTCTGCTCTCCGTCTACGCCTGTTGGTGTCGTAGTTGCTAAGGTCTGTCTCGGTACCATGGATTTGAGTACCCGGAGGACTGCTTAGGACAGTATCTACCGCACCCGGCATTGGAGGTGGAGAAAGATTGCTGGGTCCGGGTTGGTCATAAGCTCCGGATGGGCCGGCAGGAGGTGGGGGAATGGTAGCCTCGGGCATGCGCAGAGGTGTCGAGCCTGGCATTGGAGGTGGAGGAGGTATGCCAGCTTGTTGTGCCATTTCCTGCGCTTGCGCCGCTTCCATGGCTTCAGTCCTGCGCCAGCGGTCGCCACCGATACCGCTCAATGAACTAACACTTCCAGCGCGGTTCTTTCGTTGACGATCCTTTTTCCTTGCTTCACGCTCTGCGGCTGCCTCCTCTTCATTGAGTCGTCGCAAAGTAACATGGCGTCCGTCGTTGTGCATCTTGACTTTGACAGATACAGGGGGAGATGCAACATCATCTCTACTGCCTCGGCGTCGATGCTTGGATTGTGAAGCTGCTGAGATGACTGTGCCTCCAGCTGCATCGCCCGCAGTGCGACGTCGTTGATGATGACGGCCTCCAGGGGAGTCGTAAGCTTCTGATCCAGAGTCCGACAAGACACTGTAGACGCCAGCGCGAGGGGGTCGATGAGGGTTCACTGAGGGCGTGACGGTAGATTCCATGGGCGGACGGGCTACGGAGGGTGTGATACCGGTCATATCGCTGTCTGAAAGTATAGTCGATGGAGGTCGTCCTCCCCTGCGCGGGGGAGTGCTATCAGCACCGTACTTTTTGCGGCGTTGGCTGTTCATGCGAGCGATGCGTTCTTCTTCCATGTCTTGCTCCCTCATTTCTTCCACATGCTCGTCCTCCCTCTTCTTGCTGCGTTTGCTCAGAGAGTGCTTGAGAAAGCCGAATACACCAAGAGTAGCAACCCCCTCCTTCAGTCCGTAAGAACGATCCTTGGGCCTCATGTCGGTCTCGTCGCTGAAGCTGGTCCGACTATCGAAAGAGTCTATAGATGTCACACTTCTCGTTTGGCGATGGTTCGATCGTAGGTTGCTTCCAGTCATTGCCGACACTTGGGTATCACGTTCCTCGACACGACGCCAGTCGTCTCTACGGTTTGCTGGAGATCCGGGGGCGCGTCCTTCTTCTAGCCTTGAAATGTCGGTCTGAGTGACTTCAGAAGGGCCCAATCCGCGGCTGTAGCTGAAATCGCTTCCGGTCTCAGTTGGAGGACGCTTTTCTTTACGGTTAAATAGCTTTTTGACAGCGAAAATACCCCCAACGGCAGCTCCAGCTCCGAGAAGGCGATCCTTCCAAGTACTTCCTTTGTTGCGGTCGGCACCGTATTTTTCATCGCTCAGGTAAGATTCCGTAAAGTCAGAAGCGGTGACACGAGAGCGAGAATCCCTTCGGGAGCTGATGGCTGTTCCGCCGTGTCTGCTGCGAGTCCGGCTTCGAGATCTTCCTGAACCCAATGCAGCTAAACCCGCTCCTGCTGCTCCTGCTGCTGCAACCCTTCCCACACCTGGGCCCCTGCTTCGGCGACTGCGTCTGGTACTGTACGAGCGATCGGTTATATAAGTGCTACGATCGTCAAAGTCCAATTCTGGCTGGCTCCTGTACGACAGGATAAAGTAGAGGATCACGAGGATAAATGTCCAGACGGCGAAGAGTATAAACAGAACCAGTGGCGATCCGTACAAGGTTAGACCTAGTGGAACCTGCGCAATTCCGAGCAGTGCAATGGCTCGTCCTAGCCATTGGTGAATCTGCAGGTGTCAGTAATGAGTCATGCTACTATCTGTTGTATACATACCATAAGCGTAAGAGGAATCTTGTATCTCTCCTTGCCTTTTTCTAGTCTGTGGATAACCGAGCCACCGAAGGCTTGGACGACGACAAGAGTGTACAAGCCTACGCCGATGCCATGATGCGGGTTGGTTAGAGACCTCTCAAGACCCACGGCTTGGAAGGCACAGACAATGGCAGCAGTCGAGAGGAGTACCGCGGAGACCTGCAGCCAGATGTGGAATCGCAAGGCAGTACGCGGGTTCCGGTGGTAGAAACTGGCCATAAAAATGGCAGCAGGGATTACGAATAAGAATGTAACTACTGCTAGTACGCCGTGAGCGGTTATGAGGGCCTTGTAACCAGGCATGTTACGAAAGCGATTGCCCATGCCTAAAAGGTTAGCTTCGTCGCCATGTCTAATAGCATACTATTCGTACCATTCAAGCGCGTTGTCTCAAAGTTCAGTCCCTGCAGATTGGGGAGCAAGAACGTGTTGCGCTGCGAGTCCCATGTTCCGTCTCCGACATGCATGGAGCCCGACGAGTAGACACTCGTCCCTGGGTCCGAGAGTCCATTGGACATTGTGTTAGGAAGATTCCTCGAGTCAAGGGTCAATTAGACGGTCCAACGGTCTGGTGGTGCCGCGATGATGGACGCGAAAGCTGCCGACTGTGGGCGGCTTCAACGTCAAAAAAAAGATTGGATAGTCGCTATAACAATGCGCGCATGTAGCAATGAACGGGAAGCAAACTGTCGTGACGTCGTTACAGGCGTAAGGGGAGCGAAGGGAAGCTTCGCGCCGTCAAAATGCGGAGGCTGGTTGGGGCCTGAGGAGTTGGGTTCTGAGCGTGTCCGGGTGGACAGCTCGCCTTGGTGGGGTGAACGTCAGCTCGCGATGGTGAGCGAGAGTCGAGGTCGAGTACACAAAGGGTCTCCGGGTATGCGGTTAGGGTTTAACAAAGATGTTTCTGGAGAGCTGCAGGTGTCCTGGGACATGGGAAGCGGTAGCAGCCAGCTCGACGAGACCGCCGGGCCCAGCCGCCTGCATGTTTATGAGTTTTTTTGGCCGGGCAACGTAATCGATAGGTGCATAGCGGTGAGTGGCTGGGGCCGGCCAATCACAGCGCCCAACCGCCCCTGCCCCAGCCGCCTGATTACCGTTCCAAGCGACGAGCCGGCTCCCGAGATGCTTTAGCCCCCATGGCCGCCCTTGGTGCGCGATGCGCTGGCAATGAGGCGAACCGCTACTATGATGATGATGTCGTTGCCGTTGCAGCGGCATCTGTAGGGCCACCAGCTGCCTTGTTAAATACTCGAGCCACAAGGCTGCTCGACTACAATACCAATGCGGAAAAAAAGACAAAATCAACATTGAAATCAGTGGTATCTCGAGTGCTCGTCCCGTGTCCCTACACCCATAACGCCAGCACAGCCACGCCAATCCCATGCTTGCTTGTGAAATCCTCACCCCTCTACCTCTAGCATTTCCTTTAGCGCCTTTTCAGATGCCCGGAGCCACCTGCCTCGCTCCTCCAATTCGTCCCCTATACCACCGCCCTCTTCCCTCCTCCTCTGAGCTTCTCTGGCCGCCGCTACCGTTCCTTGCTTTTGTGTCTCCAGTGGCCTCAACTCACGCTCCAGCTTCTCCAAATCTCTACCTCGGTTCGGAATAGTGGCCTGGAGACTGGCAATCTGTGCGTTGAGAGCTGCAAGCTCTGCTTCTCGTTCGCTGAGCACTCGCTGAGTCTCAGGAAGCGGGAGAGCAAGCTCGGGATTGGTTGAGGCTGGCGCTTGTTCGTGCTTCAATCGTTCAATGTTCGCCTCCAGCCCTTCAATTTCGGTTGGAAGAGACTCAAGCTGTTGCGTCCGTAACTGCACGCCCTCGTAGCGTATCGCGAGCTCCTTGCCCTTGTCTTCCAACTGCTTCAAGATGTCGGCCACCTCCAGCTTGCGCTTCTTGAGCTCTGCTTTCAGGCCCAGTATCTCCTTCTCCTTCTCGTCGTTCTCGTGAGCGTCAACGAGACGAGGCGGGTTCTCAGTGATGCTGCGCAAGAACTTTTCTTTGGTGACTTGTTCGACATAACTGAAGCGGAGTTTGCTGAATAGTTCCTGTCGTCGTGATTAGACCCCACTCAAGACAAATTCTCAGACCCCCTGCCTACTTTGTAATGTAACAAATCAGCTTCGAGGGCTGCAGGATGTGTGTCGCTATTCTGTTCGCTATCCTCAGATGCTGCAGAGTTGCGCTTCTTTCCAGTTTGAGGGAGATCTTTTGGAGCCAGTGTCTCCGCAATGGCCAGGAGCTTGAGTGACTGTGATTGCTGTAACTGTTCTAACGCTGATGCTGGTGTCGGAACCGCAGACTTTCTTTTGGGACCCATTTTGCTTGCTATATCCTGTGTTCTAGAGTATGAAGGAATTCAAGTGTTTGTTTTGGCGACGGTCGCGGCTGGCATCTGATGGCAGATTTCCCCGCGGCAGTTACCGCATGTAGACTAGTGTTGTTCGTTGGAATGATCGCACATCATTCTCCAAGCATCTCAGGAGCTTTGATCTTTAGCAATCCTCGCCCTTTTCTGGTCACCAAGACCACCACGAATTATGGCGAAGAACATAGACGACGACGAATATGTTGCAGAGCTACTGAAGCAAGACGCAAAGAACGCAACAAAGAAATATGAGCTTGTCGGCATCGATGCCTTCAACCCTAGGAGGTGCGTTCCAAGCCTGTGTGCCAGTCATGGCGTTATATGAGCGTTGAAAGTACAACAACACTCTCTATCCAGATGGTCAATGCTGACTTGTCTTAGAGCAAATTCCAGCGCCCCAAAACCGAACAAGAACTTCTTACGAAACATCATCCGTCAAACCGACCGTCACAATGCAGCGCTGCTTGCGAAAGAGGCGGAAGAGTCTCGTGCGCGACTGAGGACGATGAACCGTGAGCGCAAAAGAAGAGAGACGCACCATGAAGAGGAGCAAGAAAGAAGAGCTCCGGGAAGATTGACTCCAGTCCCAGGGGATGTTGATATCACAAAAACACACTCTGATAGACGGCGTGACCATAGTGAGGACGAAGACAGGCATAGGAGACGACGAAGAAGTAAAGAGCGGGAATCTTCCAAGAATACTTCGCCCCACCGACACCGAGACAGAAAGCGCCACAAAAGGAGATACGACAGTGATGACGAGAGGGATTCTTCTCGGCGGAAACGTAGACGGTCAAGGTCACCTCACGACAAGGCTCACAGGCACAGAGGAAGCGACTCTGATGAACGGAGGTCACGGAGGAGAGACCGCGAAGAGCGCAGACACAGAAGACGAAGGTCATACTCTGGTACAACTTCACAATCCCGATCACCACCACCTCGACACTATGATCGGCATGAAAAACAGCACAAACATAGAGGACGCTCTCCTAGAGACACCGAAAAAAGCTCCGAACGTAGATCTGATCGGTACAAAAACCGCCCAAGCTCCAAAAGGCATGCCGCTTCCCCAGCATCTGATTCCGATCCTCTCGAAGCCATTGTCGGCCCGCTTCCGCCATCTTCCGAACCCACGGTACGCTCCAAAGGCCGCGGCGCTTTCAAACCAAACTCTATGGGTATCGAATCACGTTTCTCGTCTACCTACGACCCTAAAGTCGACGTCCGTGCGGACTCTGATAATGAAGACGACTGGGGTGATGCTTTAGAGGCGCTGCGTGACCGCGCACGCTGGAAGCAACAGGGCGCCGAACGTCTCAAGTCTGCGGGATTCACAGATGAACAAGTGAGGAAGTGGGAGAGAGGAGAAGGACAGAATGAGGAGGATGTGGTTTGGAAAGGAAAAGGAGAGGCTAGGGAGTGGGACCGAGGCAAGGTACTGGATGAGGAGGGAGACGTTGAGCTGAAGGCCGATTTTGGACGATTAAAGTAGGTAGTTTGCAAAGGATGAGTCTCCTCTTTTGGCCATGCGAACACCGCTTCATCTGTATATATTTAATAATACATTACGACTCGGATTCAGTGGTTAAGTTTATACAAGTATCGTTCTCCACCCCCTCAATGCGCAGAATCCTTCTCTCCTCCCCGCCCCTCAACCCTCATATTTCCCTTTGTCTCCTGCGAAACCTTCCCCCTACCCGAACCTCTTAATTCTCGCAACGAAACAGGTGGTCTCGCCCTCTTAGCCTTACTATCCCCCAGACTTATCCTAAGCATCGCCCTCTCAAGCGTCGTAGTCAATCTCTGAAGCAGCCACTGCGGCTCGGACACGTTGCCCATGAGCGGACTACGGAGGCCAAGCCAGCTCCAGCGCTGCTGCTTGCTATCGCCTGCAGACCCGATATCGGGGGCTTCGCCGTCGTCGTAGTGGGTATGGGCGTGGGGCCGCCGGTGGTTCGAGGCGTCGCTTTCGCTCTGGCCGATTAGGTGTAGGTAATATTCCCATTCGTGGTATTCGTATTGCTTGGATGGCTCTGTCTCGAGATCTTTTATAAGGGTGCGGATTTCTTTTGCGAGGACGTAGTGGTAGAAGTGGGTGTCTAATTCAAGATTGTCATCGTATTGGCTTGCTTCCCTTTCTTTGTCTCCAAACTCTGCTTCTTCGGCGTATGTTGTTAGTCGGTCTTGAGTGTAATGCTTGTGTTCGCTTGCAGAATCGTCTTGGTAGGCTTTCTTGTCCCACTTGCCCTTCTTGATTCTTGTCCATCCAACCTTGAGTGCAGCACTTAAGCCTTCTTCATCGGGTAAGACAGTGAGGGAGCCAAGCCAAATCGTGAAGTCTTTGAAAGCTTTGATGACCGTGTCTCCCATGTTGGAGATGAGAATAGTAAGGGTAGGGACCGCGACCAAGCTCCAGAATACCATGAAGGCCTTGCCGGCATTGCTTTGAACGACATAGTCACCGTAACCAATCGTCAGGAGTGACACGTATGCGTAGTAGAGGGAGACAAAATAGGAGAATCCTTGTGGTTCTTCTGAGTACCAGAACACCAGAGCTCCCATGAACCAGAGCATTAACGCCGCAGCTGTTGACAGTGCCAAGGCAGTATACCTTCTCTTCCTTTCAGATAATTCTTGCACACGTCGCATAACGCGAAACTCTTGCTCACGTCTTTGCGATTCCTTCAAGCCCCTTGAGCAAAACCTCACTTTTTCGAAAAGCGAAATACGTATCGTCTTCGTTTCCTCATCAATCGACTCCAGTACCTTCTGTCTCTTGACTTCTGTGAACCGAGCCGTCATCTTTTGTTTCCCATGCTCGAGCACAAGTGACCTAATGGATCCGATTACCAGACCGACCGTTACTAGCCCTCCAATGGCGTATGGAATCAACAAAGAGCGGCCCGTGTGCGTTTTTGGCACAAACTCTCCGCCGAATCCCATAGTAAGCAGTGTGAAATTAGCCCAGAAGACTGCGTCCAAAAACGCCCAGTTTTCCACGTAAGAAAATATTAGAGCTCCTATGAGGAGATAACACACAAAGGCAATGGTCTGTAGCATCAGCGTCCGCTGACTAGCTGTGAGCCGGAACTCGCGATCATAATGCCCAGTGTACGCTCCAAAAGCCGTAAACATCATCAAAGACGCGATGATAAAGTAAACTCCAGCCGCCATAATCGCATAGTAAAAAGCCTGACTCAGCGCATGTTGTTGCATAGGCTGAATACGAAAGACCGACGACGAAGCCACTCCAACCAGCGCTATGAGCAGGAAGCTAGCCATGTAAAACCCAATGATGGTAATGGGTTGCGCAATAGCGAATTTGAGTCTTCTCGACATGTTGAGCAGTAGACTAGCATTTGCCGATAGGGCAAAAACGAGGGATACCGAGTTCACCGCAATGAGCCATTTCGGATCTGCGATTTTGGTTCCGTGGGCCTCGTCGCTGCCAGGTGGGATGTATACGCGCCACTTTTCAACCAGGGCGCAGATGGACATGCCGTTTGCAATTGGACCAAAGGTTCCCGCTATGAGTGGACTTGCTGTAGATGCAAACCACCATCGACTGTTTACTTGATTAGCCCAAATTAAACTATGAATACGTAGTCATAATAATACTGGTTACATAACTTGGATCAAGATACTCCCGTTCCTCGCGTTCAGCTTGCTCATCTTCGGCCTGTATTTTATTTTCGACATCCTGGGCGGCTTCTTGCGCCGGCTCATCGAGCCCGGGGTCGTTCATGGTTTGGAGGGGTATATCGGATTTTGGGGTTGTTTTTCTGGGAATCTGGGGGATTCCAGATGGGTGGGTACCCCAGTTGAGATAAACAAGATCAGCTGCGAGGTCGCGTGCACGAGCAAGGAGGCAATGACGTAGGCATGAGACATGTTAAGCCAGCCACATCCCTTTGTGTATAACATTACATGCAGATCAACTTAGTACCAAGAACTATCTACTGTTCGAATTTCTGAGACCACGGAAAGGATTTTTTGGGTTTTAGCGCAGAAGAAGCTTTGAAATTCCCTCTTTCATTGACTACTGCCACCAATTTTCGAGCGATTGTATCTAACCATTTCAGATAGCTGTCCGTATCATTCCATACAACTAATTTTTTTTTCAACTCTAACAGCTTCTATGTAAACCCGGCCGTTTGACTTGTTTGTTACACAGGGTTGCGATATACTTATCTCAGTCTTGGTTAGGGCGAGCCAGTTACGAGGTATGCTGTGACTTTTGTCTAGCGATTCGGTATAGTGGCATGCGCTAGAACAGCGGGGTTTAACAACAACTCATCTGTATTGCTATAGACTGACAAGTAATATTCTTGTTAAGTAAGCTAGTTAATAAAAAAGCACAATTCAAGTTGACTGTAGCGAGAGTACTAACGAAATCCATCTATCCTTATCTCCTTATTGCTTCCAGCCCTGTTATCGGACTCCTCATCTGTTATCACAGATCTATCCTGCCATCACTGACGGCACTGCCTTGACGTGATAGCACAAAACGTGACCTGTACGCTCCGCGATGATCATTACCTTCTGACACAAACCTCTGTAAGCCACGATCTCCAACCGTGCCTCTCTTGCTTTCATATCCGGCATCAATGAGAGACTCCTTCCTGTTTCTTGTTGGATTGTTTTCTACTTCATTTTCTGGGTGGTTCTTTGGTTAGCCTTCTAGTTCGTTTTCTTGTTTTTTTGCTCGTTTTTTTTTGAGCTAGCTTTTGAGCTGATTGGATTGGAGGAGATTCTAGCGTTTATTACGTGACTAGACGCTATCTGAATACTACGGAGGCTCCCGATATATTGGCATAGCTGTGCAACTAATGAGCATAGAGGTTCTCGGAGCTAATTAGATCGCATTTCTTTGTGTACGAAACCCCCTTGGAGGCTGATTGTAGGATACAGCTAAAGTTGGAACAGAAATTATATTGGCCTGATGGCTGCCTAGACTACAGGATGTATTTTCACTTTGGATGCTATTCCCAGCTTCGACCATTATCGCTTTGAGACTACCCAGGCCTGCAATGTACTTCTGCGCTATTCGTAGGCCTTGGTACCCTTGTTGACTTGTATTTGGTAATAGCCATATGCTACTCGTCAGGGCTGTACTGTTGAGCAAGTATTCCGATTCTTACAGATGCATATTGACTAGTGATTATGCCGCTTGTCACGCAGTGCCGGCAGGGGGGACGCTCTCGCTGCATGAAATAACAGAAGAACTTCCATGATACCCTCAGTGATCTCATAGCATAGATCGGCATCTGAAAACACTCACGTATCATCCCATGACCCTATTCTATAGGCATGCGTATGATAAATGGTTGCATTCTTCAGTTCTTCATTGCTCGTGCTGAAAGTTGCTTCCCAGAACCTCAATGCCCACCTATCCGGCACACGACGACTACAGACCATCCGTATCTATCTCACTTCACCTAAAACTCTCTCACCTGTCCCCGTCGTCGCCGTCAAGGTCTGCAGGTAGGATCGTGCCAAGCCACGCGGTGACGCACAGTGCCTGCCATTTCAGTATGCATTGAGCAAACAACCGTTTGCAATCTCCTACTCACCTCACCTGAATCACAAAACACTTCTTACCTGTCTCTCAACTACTGTCTTGCTCTCAGCACCACCACTACACTACCTACCATTGCCAACATGTCTAAGAAAGATCCGCCTGAGACCGTTGCTGGCGCTGCTGCAGACCGCGCGGAGCAGCTGGCAAAAGATCTCGCCCGTGCCAAAGAGGCTGGATGGACCAACCCAATCCCCTTCCAGTATGATACTGTCGTCGGCGGCACGCCTGCTGCAGACGAGACTCGCGACGCCGCTCCCTGGCTGTCCGATGCCGCCGTCTATCAGTGGGATGATGAGTTTGGCGATGTCGGTGAGCCCAATCCTGAGCTGGAGAAGATGCTCTTCCAGGATGAGTATCTGCAGCGTGCCGGCAGTGCGATCAGCGCTCTCTCATTCGAAGTCACTGTTCAAGGCCCTACCAAGATCAACCCTGTTCGCAACGTAAGATACTCATTCTCACTTCAATAATCTGTACTAATCATTGGCATAGTTTGAAGATGCTGGTCTGCACCCGGTCATGCTTAAGAATGTCAAGTTGTGCCAATATGGTGCTCCAACTCCTATCCAGTCGTATTGTATCCCAGCCATTCTGACTGGGAACGACGTGGTCGCTATTGCGCAAACTGGTAAGTATCGTCGGCATTGCGTTACTCGAAACATCACTGACAGTGCCCAGGATCTGGAAAGACTGCTGCATTCCTGATTCCCATCCTCTCAAAGCTCATGGGTAAAGCTCGCCAGTTGGCGGCACCTCGACCCAACCCAGCCCGCTACAACCCTCTTACAGACCGGGTCCGTGCCGAGCCTCTGGTATTGGTTGTGTGTCCTACCCGCGAGCTCGCTACTCAGACGTTCGACCTGACTCGTCGCCTGTGCTACCGTACAATGTTGCGCCCTTGCGTTGTGTATGGAGGTGCTCCCACTAGGAATCAGCGCGAGCAGCTCGAGATGGGCTGTGACATCCTGATTGCCACTCCAGGACGCCTCATGGACTTTATGCAGAACAACAATCTCCTGTCGCTCCGCCGCCTCAAGTACGCTAACTAGATTACTTTTCATGGAATTTATGCACTGACAAGCTAACAGGTTCACCGTCGTCGACGAAGCTGACGAGTTACTTTCGAGCGGCTGGGAGGAAGCCATGGAGAAAGTGTTCTCGGGTGCTGGTATGATTTACCGACTCTTTTACTTTTCTATTTGCTGATGATTGTTGCAGACGTCAACTCCGATGCGGATCATACCATTGTCATGCTCTCTGCCACCTTCTCTAAAGCTGCTCGTAGGCTTGCCAAGGAGTACATGGAAGAAGCCTTTGTTCGAATCAAAGTAGGAAGGGTCGGCAGCACTCATCGCAACATCAAGCAGGAGATTCGCTTCGTTGAGGAAACTGATAAGAACGAAGCGCTCTTCGATTTGCTCTTTTCTGGTGGCCCACAGCGTTCCCTCATCTTCGTCAACACCAAGTACAAATGCGATAAGGTCGACGACTTTCTGTACAACAAAGGCTTGCCCGTCACTTCAATCCATTCAGATCGCACTCAGCGTGAGCGCGAGGATGCTCTGTAAGTACTCACTACCTAGCTGAGATGAACTGCTACTAAAAGTATAAATAGTCGTTCGTTCCGGACTGGCCGTTGCCCTATTCTGGTCGCCACTGGTGTTACTGCTCGTGGTCTCGATGTCGCCAACGTTAAGCATGTCATCAACTACGACCTACCCTCAAGCCAGCACGGTGGCATCACTGAGTACGTTCATCGCATTGGCCGCACCGCGCGTATTGGCAACGAAGGAAAAGCCACCTCATTCTTCAACGACGACAACAAGGATATTGCTGAAGATATGGTCAAAGTTCTCATCGAATCGGGGCAGGAGGTGAGCGACTTCCTTGAGGAGTTCAAGCCTCAAAACCCGTCGGCGATTGAGTGGCATGATGGCACTGACGACGAGTCTGACGATGGCCTTGGTGGTGGTTTTGGCGGAGAGGCTGGCGGATTTGACGTTGGTGCCACCTTTGGTAACGATGCAGCTGCTGGCTTTGGTAGTGCTGGGGGGTTTGATGGTGAGGGCTTCTCTGCAGATGCTGACAACAAGGTTGCATCTTGGTGAGCTATCCAGAGGTACCATGTAGCTTGCGCACTCTTCGACTGTGCTCGATAGCTATATCGATGCGGCTCATTGCTGACTGTACTTGATGGGCTCATGGTTAAGGCTTCACGGCATGGTGCGGTAGCAGCATCTCTTTGATGGAGATTTCACAAAGGGATTTCAGCAGGAGCGGATCATGGGATCATTTGTGGGAAGGAGACTATAGTAGCCTGTCCACGTAGACAAAATGTCAATTATATGTGGAGAAGCTGATGAATGAGCTATGTGTGATTGTGAGAGTTCAAGGATGAAAGAAGTGTTTTGTTCGTATCTAGCCACCAAAAGGTGGGTAGTAGATGCAGAATCGTGAAGCTCCATTGGTTGTAGGTGTATTTGCAGTGTGGTCAGGTTAGATACTAGTCAATTCTAGGAGACGGTTGGGACCACATAAAATGCCAAAGGGGGTCCACTTCTGATGAAGAAGTTGTGCTCTGCCTCGGCACTACTAGACATCCTTGCAAAGCTTCACCCGTTGAAGCTTTAGCCCAGCTAGCAGGGGCATGGTAAAGACTACTATTGATAATTCCCGCCTTGCAATGGCGATTGTGGATGACATGGCTCATGAACTGACGTCACGAATCCGCCTTTCTTCAGCGCGCTCAATCTGGGCAGCTGGGACACGCCATGCTTCGCCTCTCTACGTCGTACGTAGGCGACTGCTCACTCAGCACTCGCAGCGCACCTTTTCTCGCCGTCGGACGAACCTCGCGCAGCATGCTCTGAGCATCGCGCAACTCATCCCTATGCGGCCACGACGATGGGCAGCTTTTGGCACTCGATCGCGTATTTTTTCCGGCTCCCATTCCACATCCAATGGCGGACGGCGCTCGTACAACTCCCGCGCTTCGTGCCGTTATCCATCCTGCACCTGACGTCGCCGAAGGGTCCGCATCCATTCCTGATTGCGCTACCGAGCCGCAAGGGACATCTCATCTACGCGTACACGTTTGTGCCGCCGGCGCCGGTGGATGCGGATGCTGAGGGTGAGCAGCAGCGGAAAGAGACGGGCGAATGGCATGTACCGGTTGTTTTGGACTGTGTGTAGGACCCGTGTACCTCAGGATGCTTGTGGCAAGTGTGCTGACTCTAGGTGCGTGTTGTAGTGCATGGAGGCGGCTTCATCATGGGCTCGCCGCTGGAACAGGCACCGTATGCATCAATGATGTCGCGTGAGCTGGGGGCCGTGGTGCTGAGCGTGTCGTATCGCATCGGACCGTTCCACCAGTTCCCCGCGGCGATTCACGATGCAGAGGATGTGCTATCTGCGATTCTAGATACGAGCGGGACATCAGAAGCAGGCAAGGTCCTGCGGCAAGAGGTGCAGAGATACTACTCCATGGTACGGACGAATGTGCTGGAGGGGAAGAACAAAAAAGAGCCGGTTCTTCCACACATTGAGCATGTCACGGATATGGTGCTTGATCCCACACATCTGGCGATATCCGGTTTCTCAGCCGGAGGCAACATTGCGCTCAACATGGCGATATCGGTTCCGCCCTGTCCGCAGATGGGAATGATGGAATCACAAACACTCGGGCCTGCGGGTCACGATTGCATGTCACCGACGCTCCCGGCAAACCGTAGAGCAACAATCCTAGACGATCCATTCCAATCATGGCCATCGCTCCTCCCACCACCCGAAGTGCAACCGCGACTGCTCCCACTGCTACTGTTCTACCCGTCTCTCGACGCACGGCTGCTGCCCCACGAACGCCCGCGGAAGCCCATGCCCAGCGCGCTCAAACCAGACGACCACCACGTTGAGAAGCCAAGACAGCCAGGTCTGTTCTCTATCTTGGGACCAACGTACCTGCCCAAGAAACTACGGGCGCATCCTCGGGCTAGCCCTGGTCTCAACGACCCAGAGCATATCCAAAAGAATGCAGCTATTTTCCTTGTGCTACCGGAGAAGGACTCGCTAGCGGTGCAGAGTGATGTGTGGGTTGACAAGCTGAACAGCAGCAATTGGACGGGCCCCGTACGCTTTGGCGATGACCGAGCAGGTGATTGGGACGGCACGACGGGCGGTGATGATGATGATGATGGCGAAGGCCAAGAATCGAGCTCGAATGCATGTTCCAATGCCAAGAATGGCGGACTGGAGATTTGGCATGCACCGGGTTGCAGGCATGGGTGGACGCAGTTCCCCAATTCCTTTGTGCCGGAGCATGAGGCACGTGAGCGCGAGGCGGTATTTGCACGGACAGTGCGATTTGTGAGGGAGAAGTGGGAAAGGGAGTTGGTACTGGAATGCTAGGGGCAGGGGGTTAGGTAGCATGCACATGGGGGGGTAAATGTAAGTAAGGCATGTAGGAGGTGAGAGCTAGGCACGATAATGGGGTGGGCGATCTTTCTTACTACAGGCCTCGGGGAAGTGCGTCGTGGGGCCATGGGGGTCTGTGTGCGGGGGGGGAAGGGCGAGGAGTTGAGGGTAGGGGAGGGGATATGGATAGATGGATGGATGTAGGGGTTTTCTGGTACGGTACATCGGTCTTATTTCTGTTTGACTCTGACATGTGAAACGAGGTTTGGAAGGGATAATGCATGGATGTATGGGGGGGTTGCAACTGGGATTTCGCATGAAATATACTATTAACTAGTCTTTTCTGGGGCCCATGTACCTGCAAATAGTAAATCTATTGTTCTTCACTTGTTATATAACCCCCTGTTTTTGGGGGAGACTCTTTCATCATCAACTCAATATTAAAACACATGTATACCAATTCAGAAATAGATTTTTTTTCCCTTCACATCTGTGTGTATGTATGTGTGTGTGTGTCATTATACATTTGTTAGTGTTGAAAAATATTCCATTCTTGACAAGAAAAAGTTGCGTTGTGTGTGTGTGTGTGTGCACGTAGTTTTGTCTATGGTGGTGATGATGGTTGTATCCGGAACTTTGCCGACCGATTTCCAAAAGAAAAAAAGGGGAGATGAGCAGGAGAAAGTCACAAGGACGCAACACTGAAAGCCAAACTTTGTAAAAATGTCAAAAGGAGAGAAAAGATATAGAGTTTTGGGGGGTAAAGGACTTGGCGGGACTTGGCTTTTTGTCCGAGTCTCATTAAATGAGCGGACTTGAGCGGACGGTTGTGCGGGCAAAAGTTTAGATATTGCCAAGGAAGGGATGATCATTTGTTTATTTATTTATTTGGGAGATAAGGGGGGGGTAAAAGGGAAATGTTATTTTGGTACGGACTGGCGAGTGGTTGTCGGGAGGGAGCGGATAACGAGTTGTGTTTTGGAGGCTAATGGTTTTAGGTTGAAAGAAGGCGAAGTGTTTTGGGGAGTAGGGAAGATGGATGTTTGGATAATGAGCGACAGAAGGTCTGTGCGCGCGTATATTTTGTGGTTGTGTTGACATGTGGCTAGTGGAGGGTGTAGTGTAATTGCTGGATAGGAAGGAACGTGCATGTGTTTTGCTGGCTTTGCTTGTTTTGTGTGGCATGCATTCTCATGAACTGTATTTGTTTGTTTGTTTGTTTGCACTGTTTACCTGTTGAACAAGATGATGGTGCTCTGGTCTGCACATAAACACAACGTCCGACCATGGTTGCAGTTGCGTCAGGAGCACTTTGATCCGTGCGCCAAAGGGAAATACCGTGTGGCTGAGCAGGGAAGTATGGCGACGCTTGAGACGGCATTCTGCTGTAGCATTCGAGATTTGGTTGGTGGAACAGGGATAGGTGACGAGCTACTCCACACTTTTCTGCTGTACACGTGGGGCTATGCATGCTGACGAGTGGAAGGTAGTAGTAGTCTTTTATTTTTGCAGCGAGAAGCGGAAGCGGACATCACGCGTGAGCAAGAGACATAGGGTGATTATGATGATGACAATGACGACGGTTCATGTTTTGTCTTTGGCTTTACGTCATGTTGCACCGGGGTGCTGGTCGGGGATTGCCAGGGCATTGGAATGAATGCAGCGCGTTATTTCGGGGCGGCTGTCTGCAACGAGGAAGCCGCGGTTGTAGCCGGGTGTATCAAGTACCGCCCCATGTGCGTTTGCTCTTACGTGGGGTAATAAGTACTACTGCGTACATACTTACTGTCCAAGTATATGCACACACGCGCGCGCACACGCACACATTCATATGGACGGCTTGGTAACGCAAAGTACAAAATAAAGAAGAAAAATGTCCGGTCAGGGCTGCAGCGGCTGGCAGGCAAGGGCGATGTCAGAAGAGGCATGTGCAGCCAAGTGCAGTGAAGATGCAGACCAGACGGATGAATGGATCATGGACGGAGGAGGGGTCGTGGTGGTGTTGGACAGCGAGCGTGAGAGCGGCAGGCCAAGTGTCCCCGCAAGCCGGTTGGGGCGCTTGCTTGTGAAAATTGGCAGCGGCGGCAAGGATGAAAAAACACGGATGCGCCAAACAAAACCTCCCCCACGCTGCCCCAGACTCCATCGAGCCCTACGGCCGGGCATGTGCTGTGCTGTGCTGTGCTGCCCTGCAACTGCAACTGCACCACACGGCAATGCGCCTTGATGCACGGCGTGCGAGGGCTCAGCTGGACAGGACGACCTGGTTGGTCAAACGACAGCCCGGCGGCTTTGGACTTGTCAGATGATGGATCCCCAAATCCAGGGACTTTGAGGGCGCATCCATGGGCCTGCCAGGGAGCGGTGAGTGGCAGCGGTGAGGTTGCGCTGGTGGAGTCCGTGTATCTACGTACATAGTAACTAAGGTTGGTTGTACATGCTACATCCAGACATACGGGTCCTCTGTATGCATCTACTACTCTAGAGCCGAGCTTCAAATACGAGCAACGGGGCGTGTGCAGAGTGAGGCATTTGCATTTGGCCCTCCAGTCGACGCATAGACATGCACCCACTCGAGGCCACCATGCACGTGTTTGGCGGAGACGACACAGCGGAGTCGTCAAGGAAGAGGCACATGCTGACGCTGCCCGCAATTCAGGGTCTTGCTGCTGCTGCTGCTGCTTCGACGACAGACGACGTCAAGTCTTCCGACATGGGCGGCCGAAACACTGACTTGCGCAATGCAATTGCGTTTCGCGCCTGGCGGTGCCCTAGACAGCGTGAGACGGCGCCATCTGCCAATGCTTGCCGTGTCTTCGACTTCGCCAGCACGCACACGCACACAACGGCCACTGTAAGCGTTAAATTACAGGCGCGCCGTGCGTCCCAGCCATTAACTGCGCTACCAGAAAAAAAGTCACTATTCTTGCCAGGCCAAAGCGGCACAGCCAAGCCGAGCACTGGCGTCCCCTACCCACTGTTTCTCTCTGCCAACCCCAAATCGGTGCCGAGACGCCATTGCACATCAAATTCCTTTCTCTCCCCCTCCCACCCCCCTTCACTGCGCTCCGACTCGCCCGTCCGCGCCGCTACTGTCGCAGCTCTCAAGTGCGCATAAGTCGTCTGACTTGACGGCCTTCTGCCACCTTTGTCCACGCCATCTGCCAAGCCCCATTTCTCTTAGCAACCGCCTGTCTACGGCCCCCATCCACCAACTACGGCCCGTCGCCACACGTCGTCGCCCTGGGTTTGACCTCGTCACTAGGTACCCCCTTCCCTCTCCACACTGCCTGACACTGCCTGGTTCTGATACGTCTTCTAGCTCGTCCATTGTTCCAACCCCCAGGTTCAACTTTACTCTTCTCCACCATGTTGCTTGAGATATTATAACACCGTCTCCTTGGGGCGCCCCCCCACACTTTCGTCCAACCTGCCATTATAGTCTCCGCTAGCACACACTCACACACACACCTCTTCTACTACTACTACTACCACCACCACCACCACCACCACCACGCGTCTGTACAGCCTGACGGAATTCTACGCCTTGGTTCGGCCGCTTTTTTCCAACATTTCCACCATCAACGGCCAGCCTGACAAACCTCATCAATCATCGCATCACCACCCAGACGTTTCCTTCACACCACATCACCAGACCTATTTCTGCTTTCATACCCCAAAAGTCCTTTGACAGTCCATTAGTCAGCCTTAGAACCTCATGGCCAACGACCAGGATCACATAAGCAAACAAGGCGCACTGCAAGTAAGCACGCCACAGACCATGTCTGCTACAGCATCGCCACCCCTCATGACTGCCGAGGACGAGACCATGGGCGACCTTGATGAGCCGCCCGAACCCCGCGCGCAGCGCCCTACGCCCTTGGTACTCCAAAACACCACAACCGCGTCCTTTACAAAATCAAAACCCGTCTGCGACCGCAAAGAATCGTTGCTCACCTCGGCCCTCAAATCGGGATCTACTACTAGCTCCCCTGTTGACAGCCGGTCCGACGCGAGTCCAGTCCGCGGCATGTCGTGCATCTCGACATGGAGCAACAACAGCGGTACTACTGATCTTACAAGTGACGGGGGCTTCACAAGTCCTGGCACTCGACCCTGCACACCTAGCCCTCCGCTCCCTACAGTATCCTTTCACGGCATGTTGCCCATGTTCAACAACAAGCCATTGGAGCTACCAATCTCAATCGCTTCCCACGATGGCGAAAACACTGTTCCAGTGCACAAGGTTGCGCCCCCACAAAATACCGAGCAGAACATTGAGGCAGTTCTCGGAAGGAAGAGACGCATCATGTTTGCATGTGGCGCCAAGGAGGAGAAGAAGAAGAAGCCAGAAGAGGAGGTTGCCTCGAAACAGGCTCCTGCCGCTGCCGCTATCCCTGCCTCAGAAGAGCCTCCAAAACGTGTCAGCACCATCAAGTTTGCGTGCCCATCCAAGCCTTCAGAAGAAGCGCCTCCAAAGCCTGTCGCAGCCAAACCCCGTCGGATGGCCAGCCCGGCCCCACCACCACACCGGATCCTTTCGTCTCCCAAAGCAACCCAAAAAGTCCACCGCGACTCTGACTCGACAGTCCGTAACAATTCACCTGTCAGCGTCCGGAAAGCACGCCCAGTCGACCGGACCCGCCGCTTGAGTGCCAACTCCGATCTAGCTCGTTGTGAGGCATACCGCTTCCATGAGTTTGCTAGCTCGGAAGAGGAGGTTGAGGAGTGGACTCAAGAAGTCACTTGCCACCGAAGCAGACTAACAGTCCAAGACACGCTCAAAATCGAGAACAACCTACGCAAGCTAGGCGAGGAGGTTGCAGAAGAGGAGGCGATCGAGGAAGAGGAAGATGAAGAAGATGAAGAAGACGATGACGACGACAATATCGAAATGGACGACGATGATGATGACGACGACCTGCTTGATGAAGACCACGATGATAGTGATGCGCGTAGCGAAACCACTGACGAGGGCTTCCAGACGGATGACGAGAACGGATTTGCTGGCTCCGATGACGAAAGTGATGCAGGTTCCGACTACAATTGGTGGGCCCCTGGAGCATCAACCGCTGCGACATCGGTGGAGCACCTGGAACAGCTTCGCCTAAAGCCTACCCGCACCGTGTCTGAGTCGTCAATTGGATCTCTCGAAAGCCGAGATGGCCTCAAGATCATGGACAAACCACCAAAGCGGAGGAAGTCGAGGCCGGTCAACATCCGTGTTCCGAGCCCCGAGTTACCCGACAGCACCGACTTTGTTTGTGGTACCCTCGATGAAGATAGGCCGGCAGAGGAGGCATACATGTCGACATTAGAACGCCGACGTGCCGCCAAGCACAAGCCTACTCCACAAGACATTGATCCTACCTTTCCCACATCGGATCCCGAGCTTCCGGATGACGAAGAGGACGAAGTCTCTGAATGCGAGAACCGAGCCTCAGAGACCGACCACCTGATGATGCATGGTCGCATGGACCCGGATGCCGACTTGCGCGGTCGCCGCAAAGACATCAGCAAGAAGCGTTCACCTCTACCTTCACCAAAGCGCCTGCGGTCACCGCCGCCCGCCAAGCGTGCCGTGCATCGCTCTCCACCGCCACGCAAGCTGTTTGGCAATTCTCCCAAGCGGCTGCATTCCCCTCCACCCACTCGCCGCGGCTCTGTCAACCCCTTGGCTGCTCGCCAGCGTAGCGACATCTCGATACGCTTTGGCGGCATTGCCGAGAGACCTGTGCCTACCGTCTCTGCCTCTGTCCCACGCACGTCCATCACCATGAGGAATCCATTTGATCTTGAGGAAGAAGATGACGATGCCGCTGACATGCCTGTGCGCCGAGCCATTGACATCAAGGTCGGGCTCGAGAAGAAGAAGCAGCGCCGCAAGGAGAAGCTGTATAGAAAGCAACATCGCAAAGGCACAAAGGAGAAGCGGCCTGCCCCTGGTCGTGGTGCAGAGCGCATGCGTGAGATGGGATTGGCCGTTCATGCCTACAAGGGCAAGAACAACGGCTTCCAGCCTTTCCAAATTCGCCGCGCAGCAGATGAGGAGGATACATATGTACTGTCTGCCTAGATATAAAGGCACTTTGGGTTTGGGAAACAGGGGTTTTTTTTTCTCTTTCTTTTCACATATAACTTTCGTTGTACATGTGTGAGGACCAGCGCCGCCTGGCCAACGTAGCCGGCACACTTTACCTGTCTTCCTTGTTAGGTGGATTGTATATGTTACCTTGAACATGTACATTTTGCACCCAAGAGGGGAGCTTGTTGGTCGCTGGTCCCACTGGTTTTTCTTCTCTGAAGAGGGTCTCCTGAGGGATTGACTTCTTTTTTTTCTTTCTTCCCCTTCTTCTTCTTTTTCGAGCGCTTAGATTTGGGACGAGTATAGTAGATATGGACTGCTTCTTCTTTTTGGGTCTTCTTGTTACCTAAGCATTTTTTTTCTGGTCTCCACTGTGCGGTTTGGTAACACACTGTTTATAACATCATCTTTTTCAGTCGTCGCATTTTCTCTTGATATGGTCGTGTCTACTTTTTTTTTAAACTTATCCCCTCGCGCTGTTTCGTTTACTGGGAGTTGAGAAAAGGAGAAAGGTCTTTTCTCCTCCTGCAGATTGTGCATAAACGTGTGGTTCTTGAAGTTTTGTTCCTCTTGTCTTGCATCCGTGTTTTTTTTTTTGATATCTCGAGCGAACTTGTTCCCATGCATCTCTCTCTCTCTCTCTCTATATATATATCCAAATCGAATTCATCATACGTTCACACGTTAATACCTTTTTTTATCCAACAATATCATCACATTTCGTGCTTCTCCACGTCTTCCAACACTGCAATGTCGATCGAGATGTACAAAGGAACTTGGTATATTGTAGTAAATCCGCTTTTTATCGTACATGATGGAATCTCTCATACGCAACCCTGCCAGGCTACATAGTATGCCTTGTGGTATATATCCCTTGTACCCAATCCTAATCCTAACTGTATCATTCCTGTTTTTCTCCACCGGTGCGTAGAAATGGTTGACCCCCTTTCCCCCCCCCCCCTTCTCCCGTCTAGTAAAGAAAAGGTTGGTGGTAAGTATGCAGGACGACCGGACACCCGATATCCCGTGTTGGTGGAAGGCAAGACCGGTTGGAAGTGTCCATGTGATGCCGAAAAGTGTGTTGTATGGCGGGCGGGCGGACGGTGGGTAGGGTGGTGCTGTATCGGGTCGCCGTGTTCCACATCGAACCGGAGAACCCAAGGGCTGGTTGCGTGTAGTGTGTTGAAGTCATATCGTCGTATGCATTTGACTCCTTCTCCAGAGCCAAAATGCTTCTTTCATCTGTCCATGCAAATTTCGCCATCTTCACCTCTGCTCGGGCATCAATCCATCGCACTCGACCGTCAACGCCTTCTCTTCTCCCTCGAGTCGAATGCCGCGTGTCCTCGTAAAGCACCTGTTGATAATCCCGTTAGTTCTTCCCATCCCTCTCCCAAAGAAAAACAGCGATAAAGGGGAATGAAAACTTACACAGTCCAAAGATACTCGGCAACAAGATAAGCGACAAAGAATACCATGAACAACCCCAGCACCGTGCCCACATAATGCACCTCAGCCCCCATCATACCCACGCCATCCTCCCAGCGCTCCACCCTCTCAACATCATCTTCAAACCCGCAAATCATGCGATTCTCACTGCGTACCTGCTCGGCCGGGTCGAGCGGGAGCGTCTTGCCCTGGTGGACGGCATCCAGGATACTGGGGTCTAAAGGGGTGGGGATGGCGAGGACTTTGGCGATTGTGGCGGAACTGGCGAACTGGAGTTTGAGGTCGTTCGCGGTGGCGAGGGAGAGGGCGGCGTCCCAGTCTAAGGTTAGGAGCTCTTGATAGGGGCAGTGGGTTGGTGCGGTGCTGGTGGAGAAGGTGAGGCAGCGGCATTGGAGGTCCGAAGTGTGGTGTGTGGGGGTGTTTGTTGGAGCGGCGAGGGAGGAGGCGAGGAGGAGGGTGAGGGTGGTGAGTGTGCGGAACATGGTTGATGAGAGTAGGTTGGAATAGTGGTTGGTATTGGTGTTTTTATTTTCGGCCTCCGAGTGGGAAGGTGAAAGAGTGGATAAGGTTGAGTAGAAGTGAATGTTGTTGGACAGGAATGTCAAGACGGGTGTATTATAGGCTGACTGGGCTTTTGCGTGGTACAGTGGTGATAGGGACAGGTCGAGAGTGTCTAGAGGCGGGTTAGTGGCTCCTATTCCGGTGTATATATCTCTTTCTGTTCGACTGACGCACTGGGTGTTTAATGACAAAAAGGAAATGTCTCGATTAGGTGCCTGAGTGAGCGGGGTTGGTCCGTAAGTCAAGCCACAGGCAAGTGGATGATGGGGAGGGGATCACGATGCTTTAATCAGGCAGCATGGTGAGATGAGAGTGGACGGGGCCAATAGGCATGTGGCTAGGGCACCGGTGTAGTTTGGTTAGGTGCGTGAATTTACTACAAGGTGGCCGTGAGCATATGCCCGTTGTGGCACAGCCTCACCCGGCTTTCGGGGCCTTGTACGGAGGGCCATGTCCGCTCTAGCCACTGTGCAAATGGCGCTGTAGTACCGTGTTGTTTCGTACAAGCGACTCCCCCTTGTCGCGCGTTTGTGCTGACTGTGTGCATGCCGGGATCTACGGCTAGGATAGCCACAGTACTGGCGTAAAAACTTGCAATCATCGCGGGTAGCCCATCGATGCATGTCCCCAAAGCAGCAGTGTTCCCGTGGAGCGGGAGCGTATAGACTGTTCCAAGGATGCCGTCATTTCCGTGGATGGTGTCGTGGGTGTGTGTGAGGGACAAAGGGGACGACTCCTCAAGCTAACGCAGTCGCAGGGACATGCCCGCAGCGAGCGTATAGGCCCAACCCCGGAACAAGCCTCGACGTGTCATTGGGCCCGTCCAAACAAGCTTCGGCGGCGCACGTCAAGGCACATCAAGCCTGGGCGAGAGAGGGGGCCTGAACATGGCCATCGACGACGCTGGTCGCGGCACAGCCTATGAACTTGTCGGCGGCGTATGTCCATATACGAGCCCATCATGAACCACCCCACTGTGCACATGAGCGCCAGTGGTATCATCGTACGTAAATCCACTCTAATCCATCATTACAATCGTCGTAGACGCGCCCTTTGAACGCGTCATGCTTGCGGCATATTACGAGATCCGAGTCGCGAATAGCCATCACACCACAACTTGGCCAAAACGTCATGTCATCGCCGAGACTGTCATGATCAACGCAGCAAGCACAAAGGCGTTTCGAGGAAACACAACTCGACTTTGAGCCACCGCCCCTGTCCTTGTCCAACGGCAATAACGAGGGGACATCTCCCGTGCCGCTATCATGCAAAACTTCAGGTCGTGACCCTGCAATGTTTCAACAGTCCATGGAAATTGACCCGCGCTTGTATTCAAAGCCACTGGGAGTTAACTGAGCTCACTGAACCCAAAAAAAACCCCCTTCCTGCATAAAGCAATACATAGCCTAAACGATAAACGCGAACCCGTAATAAAAAGAAATCTTCCCGTAGCCCTTGATTCTCAATCTCCAGTCTGTCCTGCATCTTGTGACCCTGCTCTTTCGGCGCCGGCTCGCTCACGGAGGCAATCTCGGATCCGGGAGTCTTGATTTCCAGCCGCCCACTGCACATCCGCATCCACATCCACATCCCCTTCCCCCTCGGCTGCTTCCGTCATCGTAGTCGTCGTGCAAACACCAGACAACCACTCCTCCACCTTGCGCCTTCACTGTTCCTCCCGCCCCTCCCCATACCCCGTGATACCGCCTAGCAGCCCGCCAACACCGCGCCCTACACCCCCAAGCGTGCTTCCAACACCGCCAATCACATCCCCCTTTCCAAGCTTGTTTACGCCATCACCCAGACCCCCCGTGATGCCGCTAACAGCATTATTAGCGCCTTTACCTACATTCCCCACCACGCCACCAACCGGTCCTCCAACTGTGCTTCCTAGCCCAGCCAGCCCATCACCAACGGTATTCCCGAGTCCTTTGCCCACACCCGTGACGGTATTGCCTAGTAGTAATCCCAAACACATTAGCCCACAATCAACCATTTTGCCCGGAAAAACAAAAAGAGGAAGGAGAAGAAAGAGATGTGAACGAAGAGGAGGAAAGAAAAAGAAAGAAAGAACAAAACATACCAACACCACTCGTAGCCCCCGCAACAGTCCCCTTAACATCTCCCCTCCCCAGCGCTCCTGTAGTCTTACTCACTGTCCCCTGAACCCCCTTTGTCGCACTCCCAACCGTATAATACGCATTATCCACCGCGCCCGTCGCCGTCTTGCCCACCCCATCTGTCACATGTTTCACCGGCTTGCCCACGCCCGCAGGCAGCCTATCCAACCCCTTTCCCGCAACCCCCGTGACGCCATCGACGGTCCTGTTGACGCCTGCAGTCGCCGAATCCGTAATCGTGTTTAGCGTCCCCGTTGTTGTGCCTACGGTTTTATTGAGCGTGCCTGTGGCGGTGTTGATGGTTTTGCCAATGGCGCCGGGGGCGCGTTGGGGGACTTGGTCGTGGCCTGGGGGTGGATAAGCTTGGAGTATGGAGAGGGGGGTTGGGTAGGTACCGTCCGGGTTCACCTTGACTGGTGTCTTCTTGACGGTCGAGGTCTTGTTTCCTATGCTGGTAGGTGCCTTGACGGGCGTGGCTTTTGCGGGGGTAGAAGTGCTTTTGACGGGTGTGCTTGTTGTTGTCTTTTTGATGGTGCTTGCGGGCTTGGTGTCTGGTGTGTCTGCAGTTGACTTCTTCCTGGCGGGCAGGGGTTTGATGGTACCAAGAGGTGTGCGTGTGCGGGCGGGCTTTGACACCTCGCTGACGCTCGTTTTGCCTGCTGTTACTGGTGCCTTTTTCACCGCTGGTGTGCTACCAAGCTTCTTTGTAGCCGCTGGTGTAGTCGTTGTCTTTGTCACATTAGACGTAGGCGTGCCAGCCGCATTGAGCTTTCTAGGAACCCTCTTCACAGGCGTACCAGCTGGGCTCGTTGTGTCTGTAGTCACCGCTGATGCCTTCTTAACAGGGGCGGCTTTGGTTGCTGGCTTCACTGGTGTCGCTGTCGTGGACTTCTTCGCAGTCGGTCCTGCGACTTTGGAGACGCTTCCCACGCTCGCTGTAACCCTCATCTCAGCATCTCAGCATACTTGTATCACGTTCGTCAGCTTACATTGGAGCGCTGCGTTCTGCTGCTTGATTTGATCCAAGGCGGACATGATGCGTTTGATGGACTTTTGGATGATTCGAAAAGGATTAATGCATTAAAGATGCTACGGATTCTACTCTCAACCTGCCCACTTTAGAGCTGGATCTAAATTATGTTTCTAGGTACTGCTGTTGTGCCACCTCCTACGTCATGCCTTCTCCTCATCCCTGTCGTTACAGAGATGCCAATGTGGCCCAGGCTGCGGAGAGATCCTGTTTTCGCGGACACGGGACGATCATCGTGGCGGAGCCCAGCCCGTTTGGACCCTTGCCCTTGCCATCTCTGATTAGATTGCAACACCACAGTACAACCATCTCACACACCACATGTAAAGTCAAACAACGCCGTCTTCGCCAAGCAGAATAGCACTACAACCTCCACTAGTAGTCCTAGAGTAGTCGCTCGCCTCAACCTTCACCTAACCCAAAGGCCACTTGCGTCACACCACTCACATCTTCACACAGAACAACATTTTGCTTTTTGAACATTTCATCATTCGTCAAAAGTAACTACCTATGGGCAAATCTACCGAAGATACAGTTCGGGATATCCATTTACTCGTGATGCATAAAGGTCCACCACTCTAAGACTCCATCGAAGATTAAGCTCCGTCATCATGCAAAAGATGTAGAAAGAAAAGGAAAGCCATGACACATGAAAGGGATATCAAAGCGCCGACCAAACTTTTTGAAACCAGGCGACACAGGCGACACGCTTAGTCGACCTCCTCCATGGCGCTCTCGCCAGCGGCGGCGGGCGCCTCGGTTAAGGCCTCACCCTTCTCCTGCTCGGTCTCAACCTCCTCGTCGACATTCAGACCAAGAGAGACGAGCTTGTGGATGCGCTCAGCGTACTGAACAGGCTCGTCAATGGTGAAGCCAGAGACAAGGAGAGAGGTCTCGAAGAGAAGGAGGGTGATGGACTTGACAGTGCGGTCGTCCTCACCGTCAGCCTCAACCTTGCGCTTGAGCTCCTTGATGATGGCAGACTTGGGCGAGATCTCAAACGTCTTCTTGGAAGACATGTAAGAGCTCATAGAGGTGTCACGGAGAGCCTGGGCCTTCATGATACGCTCCATGTTGGCTGACCAACCGAACTGGCCGGTACGGATGGCACATGGTGAGCCGACGAGCTTGTGAGAGACAACAACCTTCTCGACCCTGTCGCCGAGGACGTTCTTCAGGCTCTTAGCCAGACCCTCGTACTCCTTCTCCTCAGCCTCACGGGCCTTCTTCTCCTCCTCGGACTCCTCAAGCTCAAAGTCCTTGGTGATGTCGACAAGCTTCTTGCCGTCGAACTCCTTGAGCTGAGTCATGGCGTACTCGTCAATGGGGTCAACGAGGAAGAGAACCTCGAAGCCCTTCTCCTTGAGAGTGTCGAGGAAGGGCGACTTCTGGACAGCCTTGAGCGACTCACCAGTGATGTAGTACATCTGCTTCTGGTGCTCAGGCATGCGGGTGACGTAGTCAGTGAGGGAGGTCTGCTCCTCACCAGACTTGGTGGAGTTGAAGCGGAGGAGCTTGGCGAGGGAAGCGCGGTTCTGGGAGTCCTCGTGGATACCAAGCTTGATGTTCTTGCCAAAGGCAGAGTAGAACTTGTCGAACTGCTCGCGGTCCTCGGCAATCTCGTTGAAGAGCTCGAGGGTCTTCTTGACAATGTTCTTGCGGATGACCTTCATGATCTTGTTCTGCTGGAGGGTCTCACGAGACAGGTTGAGGGGCAGGTCCTCGGAGTCGACGACACCCTTGACGAAGCTGAGCCACTCAGGGATCAGGTCAGTAGCATCGTCGGTGATGAAGACACGGCGGACGTAGAGCTTGATGTTGTTCTTGGTCTTCTTAGTCTCGAACAGGTCGAAAGGTGCGCGCTTGGGAACGAAGAGGATGGCACGGAACTCGAGCTGACCCTCAACGGAGAAGTGCTTGACGGCAAGGTGGTCTTCCCAGTCGTTGGATAGCGACTTGTAGAATGAGGCATACTCCTCAGTGGTGATGTCTTGTGGGTTGCGGGTCCAGATGGGCTTGGTCTTGTTGAGCTCCTCCTCCTCGATCTTGGACTCCTTGACCTTCTTGGTCTTCTTCTCCTTCTTCTCTTCCTCCTCGTCGACCTCCTCAACCTTGGGCTTCTTCTCGTCACCCTCCTCAACCTTCTCCTCGGTGGCCTCGTCATCCTCAACCTCCTTCTCGGTCTCCTTCAGGACGTGAAGGTAGATGGGGTATGAGATGAACTCGGAGTGCTTCTTGACAACCTCCTTGATCTTGCTCTCGTTGAGGTAGTCCATCTGCTCATCCTTGAGGTGGAGGATGATCTTGGTACCACGGCCGATCTGCTCGCCCTCGGTGTCTTCAGTGATCTTGAAGGTACCACCAGCACTTGACTCCCAGATGTACTGCTCGTCATCGTTGTTCTTTGATACGACGGTGACGCGGTCAGCGACGAGGTATGCGGAGTAGAAACCAACACCGAATTGACCAATCATGGAGATGTCGGCACCGGCTGACAGGGCCTCCATGAACTGCTTTGTGCCTGAGCGGGCAATCGTACCCAGGTTGTTGATGAGATCGGCCTTGGTCATACCAATACCGCTATCTTGGATGGTGAGGGTCTTGGCCTCCTTGTTGGGGATGATGTCGATGCGAAGGTCCTTGCCGCTGTCAAGCTTGCTTGGGTCTGAGAGGGCTTCATATCGGATCTTGTCGAGGGCATCGGAGGCGTTGGAGATGAGTTCTCGCAGGAAGATCTCCTTGTTCGAGTAGACGGTGTTGATGATGAGACCGAGCAGCTGAGAGATCTCAGCCTGGAACTCGAAAGTCTCCCCAGACATGGTGACGGGTGTGAAGTGTTCGGAGCTGCAAATGGTAGAGTCAGACGATGTTTTTTTGCAGCAAGTGATGGAAAGAGTAGACTAGATGTGCGGCTGATGCGGGGAAGACAAACAGTATGAGCGGGGTAATTGGAGTATTAGGCTCTTCTATTGGGCGAGAAAAAGAGCAAATTGCAAGACTGCAGTGTCTATGTGGTGAGAGAGAAAGAGAGCAATTCAATGAAGAAAAACGCAGAGGAGGCTCATGTTTGGGGCTCATATAGCCTTTGGTGGAGCTCGAGAATCTTCTAGACAGCATGGCAGAAAGGCAGAGAAGGTTGTCGCCTGGCCAATCAGCGCCCGCCTGCGCCTGCAATCGAGCCTCACCGCCAAACACGACTTCCCCGCCCTGTCGAGACGCGTCCACCGAATTCCACCACCATCGCTTTCTCCACGCCCTGCTACCCATTCGGTCCGTTGGCTACAAGGCTACAAATAATTATAGCTTCATCGCATGCCTGAAATAGAGCAGCACCTCCGCATCCGTCCTCCGACACCCCAGCCTTCACGTACGCGACCCCGCCGAGACTCACACCACTTGCACAACAACTTGGACTATGAGACCTAGACAATGAATCGGCGGCCCTCACGGGTATTGGTACATTGCAGACACGTATCATACATAAATCGTGTCTTAGCATGATGGATTCGTTAGATAAAGGTCCTCATGAACTCTCCAAGTGCCATAATGGCCATGGCCTGTCCATACGGCATGCTAGTAATCTTGATGTCCTTGTAATGCTGTAAATCATGACCCATGGCCGTGCCAAAGCTCGTCTCTGTCAGCTCGCCCTCGGCATTGATCTTGCCCATGACAGCCTTGATCGCCTTTACTGCGCTCTCCAGGAACACGTCTCCGCTAATATACCGCTTCCGGCACGCCTTGAGCATACCGTATGCGAAGCCCGCCGTGGCTGATGACTCTTCATAACTGCCCTCGGAAATGGGAATGTCGAGCAGGGTGCGCCACATGCCACTCTCTGCTTGACATTTGACTAGCGCCCGGCATTGCGACTCAAGAATTCCCACGAGGAACTGCCGTAGCGGATCACTCTCCTTGAGATCTAGAAGTTCAATGAAATCCGGGATAGCAATCGTGAGCCACGAGTTTCCGCGTGCCCATCGTGCTTTGCCAAAGTTGTGTCCGACCTCCAATCCACCCTTGTCTTCCCACTTCCAGCCGTGGTAGAACAAGCCAGTGCTTGTATCGCATAGGTACTGGCAGTGCAGAATGAATTGGCGCTTCGCTTCTTCTACGTACTCTGGGCGGTTCAGGGTAAGACCAATCTTTGCCAACGGCAGCGCGCTCATCATCAGTGTGTCATCCCAGAGCTCATCCTTGTTGAACGAGTTGTACGTCTCGTGCTGGAATCCGCCAAACTTGGTGCGGGGCAGCCCGTGCATGACCCACTCAGCCCAGGTGTCCAGCCATGGAACAAATGTCTTGTTGCCCGTCTCTTCGTACAAGTATGCCAATGAGAGGAATGGGCTCATTGTATTGATATTCTTGGTCGTGCCCTTCGCGAGTTGCTTGTCAAACCAGCCTTTTATGATGTCGAGTGTGGCCGTGCTACCCGTCAGCGTGTAGTAATGCCATAGCCCGTACAGTCCAATTCCGTGAGTCCATTCCCAGCCATCCCAGCCCTTGGTATCGATTATGCGTCCATCGTCGAGTTTGAGTAGGAACTCGCCGGTTGTGTCGTGAATGTTGATCAGGTTGTGAGTTAGGAGAAGGATCTTCTCATCTATCTGGCCTTTCGTTAGACCATGCACTGTGAGTGTTGACATGGCGGATGTGGATTCTGAGATGTTTGGTGAATTTGGAATGGCTGCTCTTGGGCAGTGGAAACTAGATATCGAGCAGCAAAATCCCAATTGCTCTCACGAAGTGCACAAGAAGAAGACGAGAAGCGGAGGCGCGACAGGTTATCAACACGCGTAGTCCAGCGGGTGGGTATTGGGCCAGACATGTGAACCAAGCCCTACAGAGTGGGGTCACAGACCGGGGCAACTCAGAGACTCCGACTGCATACCTCAAGACTTGGTGTAAACCATTGCCAGATTTTCGTGCCAATCTGCACCGAACTTGTTCATTTCTGTACCGACACAGGCTTGGCACACGTGGATTTCGCACCAGCTTCTTGGTCCCTGGAAAGCCACGACTCATCCCCGCATCTGAATCAACACCAAAAGACTCGTCATTGTGTGTTGAAAGGCCACAGGAAGATGCCTTTCGCATTCGCCATGTATTGCGCCGACCCTCGTCGATCATTACGCCGACTCCGCGGGAGGCTATTGCGCAGGCGGCCAAGATCAGCAATGAACCGTCAAGGGAAACACGGCCGCCGTTTAAATAGCCCTTGCTAACCGACTCGCATCCAAGCTGGGGAAGCCAGCCGCCATCAGCTCCAGCCCGAAGGAATATTTCCACCAGCCATCAGGCAGCTGGTGGCCTACCACTCGCATCTTCGGCATCATGTGTGCCGAGACAATCCTCTTCCGGGAGACATGCCAAGTCGTGGCTTTCTTCACAGTGCTTAATCCTACGTGCTTGTCTCTCTGCATTGTAGGCCACCACGCAAATTGTGTGGATACCAGGTCCGTGGGGTTGCTGACCTTAACAAAGAGCGACTGAAGTTGCAGCAATGGCGCCCATTTGGCCGGGCTAGCAGCAGCACGCCTGTGAAGATCATTTGCTATGCTGGGGCGGGGCAACCGATGAGGTGACTATGTTCAACCGTCAATACAGGCTTGCCGTGAGGTAGTGTACATGCCCCATTGTATGTGATTTGCGGAGGAGCCCGCCGGGGTACGGGGTAGACTGGGGTACGCTCGGACGCACCAGACATATGATCCGGGTAGAAATATCATCTCAAGTGGCCCTCCAACTCAGCACCTCACCGCAAGTGTTGGGGCACTTTAGCTTCCATCCCTATTTCCTTCAATTGCCAGTCCCCGAAAGGCTTTCAGTATGGCTGCTGCTAGAGACAGCGCCGACAAGGTGCAGGGCTTGCCTGCCACTGCTGGCCACCTCAACGATAAGGATGTCAACGAGGTTGAGCGTGTGCTGTCGGCTGGCGACGAGAAAGGCGAACATGTCAACTACGAACGTATCGATCGAGAAGTCGCGCAGTATGTCAGCGAGACTGAAATATACATCTCGGAAGAGGAGAACAAGCGATTGAAAAAGTTGATCGACAGGCGTGTGCTTCCTATCATGGTCTTTACCTATTTTTTGCAGGTAATTATCCTTAACGGATTATCTCGTCTCTTTCTAATTCAACAAGTCTCTCGATAAAGGCACCATGTCCATGACTTCCATCATGGGTATCCGCGACGATATTCCAGTCCTTCATTCAAAGCAGACAGTGAGTTCCAAAGCATACAGAAGTCTGCACGACACAAAATTGACACTTAATAGTTCGGATGGCTCACCACTTGTATCTACCTCGCTGTACTCGTTGTCGAGTACCCCACCAATTGGATCCTGCAGAGAGTGCCAGTCGCCAAATACCTCGGTCTCAACATTCTTGCATGGAGCGTCGTGCTTGCATGTCATGCCCTCTGCTTTAGCTTTCCAGCGCTTATCTCTGTCCGAACCCTGCTTGGTATTTTTGAGGCAGTCTGCCAGCCTGCTTTTCTCATCATGACTTCACTTTGGTACAAGCGAGAGGAGCAAGCTTCGATTGTGACTTACTGGTACATGATGAGTAAGTTAACATGCATTGAAATCGTATTACTATGTATTTGCTAATCTTGTGCATCAGACGGTATGCAACAAATTGTTGGTGGTCTTTTGGCCTACTGCTTTTCACAAATCAGACATCCAAGCTTCAAGAGCCACCCGGGAAATGCATCAATTCGGTCATGGCAGGCCATTTTCATCACCTACGGTTGCATCTCCTTTTTGTGGGGATTGTTCGTTATTTGGAGGCTTCCCGACAGCCCTATGCGCGCAAAGTGCTGGTCGGAAGAAGACAAGAAGCTGATGGTCGAGCGTGTACGCTCCAACCAGACTGGTCTTCAAAACAAGAAGTTTCGCGCGTACCAGTTCAAGGAAGCACTTCTCGACCCCCAGACCTACTGCTACATGGGTATCCAGATATTCACCACGCTTCCTACTTCTGGACTTGGTGCTTTTTACAACATCATCGTCCAAGGACTCGGATTCAGTATTCTTGAGACTCAGCTTCTGGCCATGGTTCTTGGCGCCATTATCATCTTCACGCTCATGAGCTCGGTCTATATCGTCAAGAAGACACAGCAGAACCTTCTGACTATGGCCATATATCTGATCCCAGCTTTCACAGGTACCATTGTCATCATGACTGTTAAGAATACAAACAGCGCAACCCGAGCCGGTCTGCTCATCAGCTACTGGATCGTCTTTACCTTTTGGGCAGCCCAAGGTCTCGGTATGTCCATGCTGACGCGTAATGTCGGAGGGCAAACCAAGAAGTCCGTCTGCATCACCATGAACTTTTTTGCCTGGTGCGCCGGCAACGCTATTGGCCCCAAGGTCTTCTTCGACAATGACCCTCGCTACCTCAAGACGTTGGCCATTCATCTTGGTTGCTACTCTGCTCTCGTCTGCGTCATTATCTTTTTACGGTTCAACCTCACGCTCCGTAACAAGAAGAAGGACCGTGAGTTTGGCACGGAAATCAACAATACCCATGGTTTCGAGGATTTGACGGATAGAGAGAATCCCAACTTCCGTTATGTGTACTAGACATTGCGAGAACTACAGGAAACTGTTATTTAATAAATAGAATGAATTATGCCAGCGCATCGATGGGAATGCACCAATATTATCACTTTCATAATTACTTGTATCACTCGCGCACAAAGACTGTACTGATAAACTCGAATTCGATACCTCATCTAAAATCCCCCCATCATTCTACTCCCCACCCCCATCATCCAACTTCCTATTCTCCCTCGCACTCCCCTCCAACCCCGCCATAATCGCCTTATCCTCCCCAGGAATCCTCATTTCAAACACCTCCCTCACAACCGCATACTCGTAATACCCACACCGCGCAATCGGCTGCGTCTTCCTGACATCAATCTTGCCATCCGTCAACACGCGCTCATCAATATGCACGCCAACCACCTTCCCGATAACCACATCTACAGACCCCATTGGCGGATTTCCTGGGAGACGCAACGTGCTGTGGTACTCGCACTCGAATTTGACGGGACTCTGCTTTACCATTGGGATAAACATCTGCTCGTGCTTCCCAGCCGCCTCCGCTCCATCTCGAGGGGCGATGCGCACAGAGCTAAGCTTACTGCCTTCCTTTTCCAGCCCCGCTTTCTCGAATTCGTCAACGCCATAGGCTTCTTGGACTGCGCTGATGTTGACTTGCTCGCGCAGCTCGTACGTAGCTAGGTTCCAGATGAATTTCCCGGTCGCTTCGACGTTGCGGACTGTGTCTTTTTGTGTGGAGCTGGGAGTTTGGTTTGCGCTGAACATTACGTAGGGGGGGTCGAAGGTGAGGTTGTTGAATTGGGAGTAAGGGGCGAGGTTTGCGGTGCCGGTGGGGGAGAGGGTCGAGATCCAGCCGATGGGTCGGGGCACGACGCAGGCCTGGGGTATGTGTGAATTGGTTGCATTTGGGATTTGAAATTTATAGGAAATATTTCGGAGTTGAGAATGGTGTAGATTGGGGAATTGAGTGTTCAGTGATGTTGGGTTGGAATGGCATAATGGTTTCTCATCGTGCTGGGAATGGCGAAATGAATATTTGCCAAACACCATGTATCCTCTGAATATAGCATTGTATACAATTGGAGAAATTTAAATGCCACTTACCTTGAATGGATCGTATGGTAGCCCATGATCTTCCTTGCCCGGTCGGTAAAACATGTTTGTCTCCCAGTGCTACCTTCTCCTAAAACAAGTATATTTTCCTTCTTACACAAGAGTCTGTGAACAAATATATCTCAGAAAGGTACGAGGTATGTACCATTGTGCCCCCCCTTGTCAGGACACATGGCCAGTATATAAACCCCATTCCACTCTGTCAGAAGCTTGTTGTTTTGGTGGGGCAGTATCTTCCGCTACGGATGCTACTGCGGGGTTCCCTACGTACATATCGGGATCCCGCAATCGGCACATCTAGGCGGGAAAGACTTGTGTGCTGAATGCGTAGTTGCGTCATTACATCATAATTCCAACAGATACACACCATGGCTTCTTACAGTATAGTTTCCCTAGTCGTAGTTTCCACAATGAGATTGTAATACACTAGATATAGAGCAAAGAGATATCAATTCCTCCTTCACCACCAACATAAAAAACCCCCCAATATCCGTACCAGCATGTCCCCCATAGAAACAATCTTAATAACAGGCGCCTCCTCCGGCCTTGGCCTCACCTTCCTAACGCACTACCTCTCCCTTTCCACCCCAACACCCAAAATCGTAGCCCTAGACACCCACCCTTTACCCGGAAGAATCGCTACACCACACCCACCAACCCTTTCCTTCCACCGCCTCGACATCACCAGCGCCTCCGCGGTTCAAACCCTCGCATCAACCTACGCCCACACACCCATTACTCTAATCCTTCACTGCGCCGGCATCCGCGGCCTAGTCCCATCAATAGTATCCCGCGAGAAAGATGGAACCCGCAACGTCGCAAGCACCGAGACACTGGAAGTCATGGATAAAGAAACAATGATGCGAACGTTCGAAGTAAACACTTGGGGAACATTTAATCTTATCAAATCTTTTTTGCCATCTCTCCTCTCCTCTTCGGCATCGTCACTGGAAAATACCAGTATCACACGCCCCAAAGTTGTCATTCTCTCCTCACGCATGTCATCTATCTTGGCGAATTCTGCGGGGGGAGCCTACGCGTATCGAGCTAGTAAAGCAGCGCTGAATGCGGTGATGAGGAGTTTTGTGATTGATGTGCCGCAGGTGCAGTTTTTGCTGTTGCATCCGGGGAGGGTGGAGACGGGGCTGGTGGCGTGGAAGGAGGAAGGGGCGGTGAGCGTGGAGGAGAGTGTGAGGGATTGCTTGAGGGTTTTGGAGAGGATGAGGGAAGAGGAGTGGGCGAGCGGGAGGTTAGTAGATCGGTTTGGGGAGGAAATTGGGTGGTGAGGAAGAGGGGAAATGGTGGACTTGGTCAAGAGGGTGGGGATGATCGGTTCTTGTGGATATCGTTAACTGGCTGTGGCATTCACAGTAGCAAGATGCAGCTGTAAAGTTGCATCATGTTCTTTGACTCTTGCAGTGTGCATCTAGAGTCCGTTGGTTTTCATTGCTGTCATTATGTAATATGTAGCAGCAAATGTCATGTACGGCGCTTGTGATGCATTTAGGCATCACTTTCCCTCTGTTCAGCCTTGGGGTCATGAATGCGCACTCTTGATCGGCGCTCTGATATAAAAACGATGCATGTAACTCCAGTGCAAGAGCATCATTGATCATCGCCCAACGTCTTTTCTGCATCTTCCTCGCAAACGTCTGTTGGTATGCCCTCCTCGCCTTCTCTTCGCCCCGCACTGGATATCTTGTGCGCAATACCCAAACCTCTCTCAATACCTTGAACCAACCCTTCCAACGCCCCAAAAATGTCGCCTTGTTGTTCTCGTGCCTCAGTCAGCTTGTCTATTCCGGCCTCGGCCTTTCCTTTGTTCTTTCGCGGTATCTCAACACCTTCTATGCGTAGCATGTAGCCTGGATCTGGAGAGTCCTCGTCGAAAGAGGGAGCTGTCCGCACGCCCGTGTCTATTATCTGCCACTCTGGTGATAGCGACTGTGCATCCACGATTGTGCGTCCATCTTCGCCTACATCGACAATAAGGTAGTGTTCCTTAACACCTGGTATGGGTGGCGGAAACGGCGACTCGACTGGTGGGTCTTGTTCATATTCCTCTCCCTCAACCTCTTCTTCATCACCTTCCTGACCCCGACGTCGATCCCCGGCAGCCGGTGCATCGTGTGGAAGGTATCGTGTATCGTCTAGCCCTAAGCCTCGCATCGAGGCTGCAGTGACAATGGTAGGATCGTCGTCTGCGAAGACATAGTGGACATAAGGGTGGTAGTGCTCTCCCGATGTCGTATCTTCAATCAAGGCGAAGAAGGGTCGGAAGTTTGGTGGTGGTAGCAGGGGTTGCTCAGCATTAGGCTCGGGGTATGGTATGTCGTCGTCCTCCGGCGCGTCGCCAAACTCTTGTTGCTCGTTGGGATCATCACCAGGAGGATAATCTGGGTGATCTAGGGGTTTCGTACGTGGCGAGGGGGTTGCGCGAGGTATTGGCGGTGGTTCTGGAGTGTCGAGGTTGGCAGACATGTTTGGGAGATTGATGGCGGAGTGGAGTTAGTGGAGCTCGGGAGAGCGAGCTCTAGCTCAGATGCATGATCGATAAGACAGGTGGTCCATGCACACTACCCTTCCGACAGCCGGGAAGTGGGACAAAACGCAGGTACCGGAGACACCATGACTTGATCAGATGGCGTGTTTGAAGCAATCCTTGGGGTACCAAACGTGCCAACGACAATTATATCGATGGTCCAAATAATCCAAACTCCAATTTCGTCAGACCCTACGCGTCACTCAATGTTTCTACAAGAAGTCCCGTCGTATGTTCCCCAAGACATTAATGGAAGACTCGTCATTCGTACAGGATTCGTCGGTAACAAGCCAGTTCGAAGATTACAGGGGACTTGTATCCGGTTCCTGTATCTGTCTGGGCGTCTCGGTGGCGGTTGGCGCGTCTTGACTCTTTGACTTGAATGCTGTGTCGGGATATCAGTAAGGTCTTTGGACATCTTAGACAGTGGAGGATTGACTTACGCTGGCGACACATGGGACACTTTTCCAAAGAGCTCTCCTGCTTTAACCAGTCGAAAATACAGTGCTGGGTTGCTGTTAGCTGTGCGTGGGTCGTTTCGACGAGTGGTAGTTTACCATGTGAAAAGAGTGATTGCATTCTCCAAGTACTAGCTCTGATCAGCTGGCATGAGAAAAAAGTGGGTATTCCTGGACTTACGTAGCGGGCACTCATCGCCTGGGAATTTGCACTTGGAACAGGTGCTGTCGTATGGGTTGCGACAGATTCCACAGACATCGTCATCGGGCATGTCCCAGTGCCAAGCTGCGACAGCGTTCCATTCGCGGATAGTTACTTTCATGGTTTTGGTCTTTGTCCAATTTATGGTATTCAAGGACGTTGCGTATGTGAGTATGAAGCAAAGACTATCAGCAGCATCAAAACGCGCCCAGGCGGCAGAGTCTCGGGCGGTGAGAGGCGGAGATTGGGCGTTAATTCCGGCAGGGGGTCTGAGCTCAAGCTTTGCTGCAGCCACAGCAAAGCTACGAGATGTACACAATTGCAACACCAGAATCTGACCTGCACAGTGCTATCAGTGCTTGAGTAAGCCGTCAGAACCAGATTTGTTCGAGGTCGCATCTCAAAATGCATTAACAATCACGCCATAGTCTCGCCCTGATCCGCTGCGGTTCAGTTCCCCGCACTTATCAGTATTAGTAGCTTCCACCTGCCCCTCCGGCTTGGTCACGAAATATTGAGCGACGAAGGCATCACCTCGCCGTCTTCTCCACTTATCCCACCAGTGCTATCTCCATCCTCGCCGACTCCAACAACTAACCACTGCAGCTTGCAAAATGTTTGTCTCACGTTTCCACTGTTCTTTGCGCTCCCCATCTTCCTTTGTCTCGTCTCTCCGGTATCCAGTCTCTGTAGCCAACAGGCGCGCAATGTCATCGCACGAGAAACTCCGTTCTTACCTTGTTACCCCAGCAGAGCTCAATTCGGCCCTAAAAATCAATGCCAGCAAGCTCTCGCACGAACCTCGCATCATTCCCCTCTGTGCATCCTGGTTCCTTCCCAATGACGACCGCAATGGCTACGAAACTTTTCTTGCGCAGCACATTCCCCATTCTCAATTTTTCGATCTAGACGCTGTCAAGGATGTGCATTCGCCGTACCCCCACATGCTCCCTTCCCCTTCCGAGTTCGCTGACGCAGTGAGACATCTGGGTATCCGTCGCGAAGACAGTGTAGTCGTGTATGATAGCAAAGAGCTAGGCATCTTTTCTGCGCCCCGCGTTGGCTGGACATTCCAAGTTTTTGGTCATCCAAGAGTCCATGTACTCAACAACTTCCGCAAGTGGGTCGATGAGGGATACCCCACAGAAAGCGGCGAACCCAAGGCGCCCAAGATAACCGAGTACGAGGTACCGCAGCTGGACGAGAAGAAAGTCATTGCTTTCGAAGAAGTCAAAGAAATTGCAAAAGAGTTGGGCAAAGAGGGAGCCGATGAGGTGCAGATCTTGGATGCGAGGAGTCTAGGAAGATGGAAGGGCGTCGACCCAGAGCCCAGAGAAGGTACACAGAAAACCGCCAGTACAAACAAGTAGCAGCATACTGACAACCACAGGCCTATCCTCTGGCCATATTCCTTTCTCCATCTCTTTACCAGTCGCCGACCTCCTCGACCCCAATGACAAGACCCTCCTCCCTGCTTCCAAGCTCAAGGCCGTCTTCGAATCAAAGGGCATAAAGCCTGACGTACCTATCATCAGTAGCTGCGGCACTGGCGTTACTGCAGCCATTATCGATGCTGCCCTGACCGAAGCTGGATACCCGACACAACAAAGGCGTCTATACGATGGCAGCTGGACGGAATGGGCTCAGCGCGTCAAGCCTACTGAGGGTCTCATCCACAAGACATTGTAGATAAGCAGAAGTCACACGAGAGATTGATATGAGATGCAACCCATTCCCTTGAAGGAAGTTGATACCCTTTCTCGAATTTTATGTACAAATAGTTTAGTTAGGAAATATATATGTGCCAAGAGTCCAAAAGTACTCATGAACATGCTCTTCTAAA